AACAAGTGGAAGGGACCCCCTTTTGTTGTTTTTCAAATTGTAGGCTAGCTTTAAAGATGCTCTATGCAGAAATCGCTCCGGCATTTCCTGGTTGCTAAAATTCTAATAGTTCGCCTAATTTCAGTTTATGTGACAAAATAAGCATATATAGTGTAGAGAGTCATTGTACCATCTAAACCGCTGTGAAATATATTTTCCATAAGCAAAAAATATTGTATTTTCAGCTGTTTGAAGCTGGTGTACAAAACCGAAAGTAAAAGATGCAAAGACGAAACTTAAGAACGGGAAGCATAGAAATAGTGCACATAGAACCGATCTACTGCTTCTTAGACTTGCTTTCAATCACAATTTGTGAATTTGGTCGGAAAAAGTTGGAAAATGTGTGATAGCGTTGCAGCAATGGTAACTTTCTGTGTATTATCACTCATTCATCCCTCCATCCCATACCTTTTTAAAATAGGGATTTTACCCTATGACAAACAATGTCAGTATTAGTTAATGCTCACGTATACCCTTTAATCATATATCATTGGAAAGCTAAGATTCACAGCTATCCGTCATACACATTTTCGGAATGTTCAGGTCAACATAACTCTGACCTTTGACCTCCAGGGTACATATCAGAATGACCTGTATAAATTGCTTTAAAAAGGAAACATTTTAAACTTTGACAGGTGGTTCTGAAAGTTCATGAAATTAGCTTTTAAATTATATGTAATATAATCAACTTAGAAAGCACCAGCTACAGCTATTGTTTAGAAATTGCCCATATTGTGCCATTGACATTAGAATGTTGGACGCTTACCCACTGGGCACACACTGGTTGAATAACACTGTTTCCACATCATTTCAATGAAAATACGTTGAACCAATGTGGAATAGACGTTGAATTGACATCTGTGCCCAGTGGGTAGCAATAGAATTCCATATAGTGGGGGTGCTATGTTTTTGGATTGTACTTTTTGGAACCAAATTTCACACATAGCTAGAACAGGAAAGATGTGTAGATACAGGGCCATCACAGGATTCACACATTCATCCCACAGAAGCCTTTTTCCAATATGGCTACAAAACAACTCAATGGGGTCTTATTGGATCAATTTCATATGACCATACCTATATGAAATATAATTGTAGTATGCCCAATAATATCTTATACAGTGGGGAAAAAAAGTATTTAGTCAGCCACCAATTGTGCAAGTTCTCCCACTTAAAAAGATGAGAGAGGCCTGTAATTTTCATCATAGGTACACGTCAACTATGACAGACAAATTGAGAGAAAAAAAATCCAGAAGATCACATTGTAGGATTTTTAATAAATTTATTTGCAAATTATGGTGGAAAATAAGTATTTAGTCACCTACAAACAAGCAAGATTTCTGGCTCTCACAGACCTGTAACTTCTTCTTTAAGAGGCTCCTCTGTCCTCCACTAGTTACCTGTATTAATGGCACCTGTTTGAACTTGTTATCAGTATAAAAGACACCTGTCCACAACCTCAAACAGTCACACTCCAAACTCCACTATGGCCAAGACCAAAGAGCTGTCAAAGGACACCAGAAACAAAATTGTAGACCTGCACCAGGCTGGGAAGACTGAATCTGCAATAGGTAAGTAGCTTGGTTTGAACAAATCAACTGTGGGAGCAATTATTAGGAAATGGAAGACATACAAGACCACTGATAATCTCCCTCGATCTGGGGCTCCACGCAAGATCTCACCCCGTGGGGTCAAAATGATCACAAGAACGGTGAGCAAAAATCCCAGAACCACACAGGGGGGACCTAGTGAATGACCTGCAGAGAGCTGGGACCAAAGTAACAAAGCCTACCATCAGTAACACACTACGCCGCCAGGGACTCAAATCCTGCAGTGCCAGACGTGTCCCCCTGCTTAAGCCAGTACATGTCCAGGCCCGTCTGAAGTTTGCTAGAGTGCATTTGGATGATCCAGAAGAGGATTGGGAGAATGTCATATGGTCAGATGAAACCAAAATAGAACTTTTTGGTAAAAACTCAACTCGTCGTGTTTGGAGGACAAAGAATGCTGAGTTGCATCCAAAGAACACCATACCTACTGTGAAGCATGGGGGTGGAAACATCATGCTTTGGGGCTGTTTTTCTGCAAAGGGACCAGGACGACTGATCCGTGTAAAGGAAAGAATGAATGTGGCCATGTATCGTGAGATTTTGAGTGAAAACCTCCTTCCATCAGCAAGGGCATTGAAGATGAAACGTGGCTGGGTCTTTCAGCATGACAATGATCCCAAACACACCGCCCGGGCAACGAAGGAGTGGCTTCGTAAGAAGCATTTCAAGGTCCTGGAGTGGCCTATCCAGTCCCCAGATCTCAACCCCATAGAAAATCTTTGGAGGGAGTTGAAAGTCTGTGTTGCCCAGCGACAGCCCCAAAACATCACTGCTCTAGAGGAGATCTGCATGGAGGAATGGGCCAAAATACCAGCAACAGTGTGTGAAAACCTTGTGAAGACTTACAGAAAACGTTTGACCTGTGTCATTGCCAACAAAGGGTATATAACAAAGTATTGAGAAACTTTTGTTATTGACCAAATACTTAGTTTCCACCATAATTTGCAAATAAATTCATTAAAAATCCTACAATGTGATTTTCTGGATTTTTTTCTAATTTTGTCTGTCATAGTTGACGTGTACCTATGATGAAAATTACAGGCCTCTCTCATCTTTTTAAGTGGGAGAACTTGCACAATTGGTGGCTGACTAAATACTTTTTTCCCCACTGTAAATGTTCATAGTGATGTAGAATACATAACCAAATGAGCCAAGTGTGCCAGATATATAAAGATGTTAAATTATTCACAGAATTAATAATTAAGCTGTCTGATTCGTTGATTTCTGAAGACGTTATGATCAGTAATTGCAATATTTCATGATTAAACATGTAAAATGGATATACAATGTTATATTAGCTGTTTTTATAAAACAGAGGACTAGAAACTTGTTGCAAACATTACAGCAATCTAAAAAAATTTAGCTGACATGAGCTAATTGAGTGATTGCTGAACACTACCAAATTTCGAAATTGCACCTTGTGTATTTGACTATTCTAACTCCCATCAGTAAGTTGGTATCCCCGACTGAGTTCCTAAAAATTAAATATACACTACCGTTCAAAAGTTGTGGGTCACTTAGAAATGTCCTTATTTTCGAAAGAAAAGCAACAACAAAAAAATCCCATAAAAATAACATCAAATTGATCAGAAATACAGTGTAGACATTGTTAATGTTGTAAATGGCTATTGTATCTGGAAACGGCTGATTTTTAATGGAATATCTAGATAGGCGTACAGAGGCCCATTATCAGCAACTATCAGTCCTGTGTTCCAATGGCAAGTTTATAATTTTAAAAGGCTAATTGATCATTAGAAAACCCTTTTGCAATTATGTTAGCACAGCTGAAAACTGTTGTGCTGATTAAAGAAGCAATCTCTCCCCAGCCTCTCTCCTACTGTGTAAATTACATGTTTCCCACTAATCCCTGGCTCCTGGGGTGACTATAACGTGCATCGAGCCCCCGCGGACGGCTCACCGTGCACTAATAAAACCAGAGACAGGCTCCCCCGCGTGCAAATGTGAGAGACGCTTCAGCATGACAATCACTTCCCTGAAGAGGATGATGACTGCTCAGGCTGAACTCCTTCCTGAGGAGGAATAGACTGTCATTAACATGTCAGAGGAGGTTAAACAGTTAAGTATCAGTAAATATAATGTATTAATTGTTACCTAAATGCCTCATCTCTTTAACACTGGTTGATTATGACACAAGTATCCATGGCTGCGTTTACACAGACAGCCCAATTCTGATATTTTTTTTCATTAATTGGTATTTGATCAATCAGATCAGCTCTGAAAAAGATCTGGTGTGACTGGTCAAAAGATATCAGAATTGGGCTGCCTGTTTAAAAACATCCTAAGATCCTCCACGCTATATTGACTCAATACATTATAGAATGGTCATATATCCCTTTATTTGACAATCAACATTTTGTTTTTTATTGTGTAAAGTATCATAAGTGATTGTTGTAAAGTCATCTGATTTGTCCCCTAATTGAGTGAGTGTCCCTTAATTTTCATGGGTCTGTGGGGCGTCCATCTGTGCCCGGTTCAGGTGGAGAATTGGTGAGAGATGTCTGCCCTCTGCTGGATATAAAGGTGGTAGTGACAATTCTGTAATAAAAACACACCTGTACAAGACAAATGGGGAGCAACTGTTCTTTAACTGAGGTGTACGGGGGGCTCTCTGGTCATATACTTTATCCTTTGAGTGGTTGACTACTTCCATGAGGTGAGTAGAAGTGTCAGGCGTACACCACACTACCACTACCTGCCACACACACACACACACACACACCTGAACGTTACCTAGTTCATGGTATGAGTGGCTGGAGGGGGGTAAACTCATTGTGTTGCAAAATTGATGGTCCATATTATCTTACATCTACCCAGCGCCTGTTTTGGAAACAAAGCAGTCATTAACTATTCACTAAATGATTTTGAACAGAAAAATATTCCAGGCCTGTGGATCCGGAGCGAGGCCTTTGTCGCTGAAACCCCTGGAGTCTGATTTCAGACTGGTGAATAAGACGTGACGGTTCCTCTGGTTCTATTTAGTGGAGAGATGAGGACAGGAAGGGTGTATGGAGTTCAGAGACAACAGTGATTGGTGTGTGTACTGTTCATTCGCACACATTATACACTTGCAGTGACATTTGAAGCAACACAGTGTTGTCAATTTAATAAATGTTATGTTTTTAATATAAAATGTATTTGTCTGTCTGTACAGAGATGACAAGAAAGAGTTAAATGAATTGACAAACTTCAGAAATGTCATATAACAGTCCAATAGTCTTTCTTCCATTGTTGTCATGGTGCCTTGCCGATAATCAGAATGCTCATGAGGAAGATCATGATGAAGAAGATCCACATAAAGAACCTATCCATCACCCTGGCAACCTTCTTCCACTATGACCCCTTGGCGCAGGTGGCCCTCTGCTCCCAGAAGCAGTTGGCAATGTATTCCACGTTCCACACCAGCTTGGAGTCCACCCCAGGTAAGCTGCTGCCATGACTACAGAACACACAGGGGTCAAAGATTACTGAGGCCACCACAGCAGCGACCACGGCTGCCTTTTCATCCTCTGGACAGCATGGCGGAGCCTCCTTACAGCAATCTCCCAGGGAGCGGTTCCCGTTGGACTCAAAACCCTCGTACTTGGAGCTGAAGAGATGGGTCTACTCATCTCTGGTGATGTGGTGTTGGGGTCAAGGCTTGGGGTGACGTTGAGGTCCAGGGGTTTGGGGTCTGGGGTGTTTGTTGCGGTACTGGTTCTCTTGCCCGCTGTGGCCTCCCGGTTTCCCTTTGGCCTGGTGGTGGGGGCTGAAGTTGTGGTGGTGGAAGTCGTCCTTGTCACGACTTCTTCCGAAGCTGTCGCCTCTCCTTGTTCGGGCAGGCTTCGGTGTTCGTCGTCACCGGCCTTCTAGCCACTGACGCTCCTCATCTCATCATTCCATTTGTTTTGTCTTGTTTATTACACACACCTGGTTCATATCCCCTCATCAGTACCTGTATAAGTGTTCCCTCTGCCCCCTTGTCTTTGTGTGTGATTGTTTATTGTGGAGGTTAGTTTAGCTCGGTGGAGCTCCTGTTATTTTGTATCGCCGGGATATTTCACCAGTGTGCCTTGTTGTTTTCCAGTGAGCCTGTTTTACGCATTGCTGCGTACCGCTGTGTTTTGGAATAAACCCTTCTGTTCTGTGATTTACCCTCCTGCGCCTGACTCCTTCAAAATCACTCATCACAGTCCTGTCGAAAGTGTGAGGAGGAAGAGGAGGGGGAAGAGGTGGCAGGGACACAGTTCACTCTCACCTCGTAGACGAAGAAGATCTTGGACATGTAGTTGATGATGAGGACTTTGGCCCAGTGGGAGACGGGTTTGGCTTCGGCACCACAGAAATTAATGTTCATGATGAAGATGGTGAGCGCTGTGGAGGCTGTGATCATCGTCATGGTAGCAATGTAGTACTTTCCTGTGTGACAGACAGAAGATAGGAAACAAGTTACTTCATGTAAATACATGGATTCTGTGTGTGTGTGTGCATGTGTGTGCACTTGCCAATAAGGGGCACACTCTCAGACGGCGGCATGCTCTCGGCCACCGTGAGCTGGAACACGGTCAAAGCCAGCAGCACGGTGACCCCCAGGGACACCTTCTTTCCAGAGTCAGCCGGCAGGTAGAAGCCCAGCGGGGCCAGGAAGGAGATGAGGAAGCAGGGCAGGAGAAGGTTAAAGATGTAGAAGGACGAGCGGCGTTGGAGCAGGACTGTGTAGGTGATGTCAGGGTAGGGGTCGGAGCAGCAGCCGTACATGATGACGTTCTTGGTGGCCGGCATGCCGTAGCATTCCCACTCCACGAAGTCCAACAGGTCTCCACTGTCCATGCGCATGGCTATGTCAACCTGGGAAGAGACATCGGAATAGAGGGTGAAATATAATAGGAGTGTAACAGTAGTGTTTTAGTAAAGCATGTATAATGCACACACACATACAGTGAGGGAAAAAAGTATTTGATCCCCTGCTGATTTTGTACGTTTGCCCACTGACAAAGACATGATCAGTCTATAATTTTAATGGTAGGTTTATTTGAACAGAGAGACAGAATAACAACAAAAACATCCAGAGAAACGCATGTCAAAAATTTTATACATTGATTTGCATTTTAATGAGGGAAATAAGTATTTGACCCCTCTGCAAAACATGACTTAGTACTTGGTGGCAAAACCCTTGTTGGCAATCACAGAGGTCAGACGTTTCTTGTAGTTGGCCACCAGGTTTGCACACATCTCAGGAGGGATTTTGTTCCACTCCTCTTTGCAGATCTTCTTCAAGTCATTAAGGTTTCGAGGCTGACTTTTTGCAACTTGAACCTTCAGCTCCCTCCACAGATTTTCTATGGGATTAAGGTCTGGAGACTGGCTAGGCCACTCCAGGACCTTAATGTGCTTCTTTTTGAGCCACTCCTTTGTTGCCTTGGCCGTGTGTTTTGGGTCATTGTCATGCTGGAATACCCATCCACGGCTTTGAGGGAAGGAGGTTCTCACCCAAGATTTGACGGTACATGGCCCCGTCCATCGTCCCTTTGATGCGGTGAAGTTGTCCTGTCCCCTTAGCAGAAAAACACCCTCAAAGCATAATGTTTCCACTTCCATGTTTGACGGTGGGGATGGTGTTCTTGGGGTCATAGGCAGCATTCCTCCTCCTCCAAACACGGCGAGTTGTGTTGATGCCAAAGAGCTCGATTTTGGTCTCATCTGACCACAACACTTTCACCCATTTCTCCTCTGAATCATTCAGATGTTCATTGGCAAACTTCAGATAGCCCTGTATATGTGCTTTCTTGAGCAGGGGGACCTTGCGGGCGCTGCAGGATTTCAGTCCTTCATGGCGTAGTGTGTTACCAATTGTTTTCTTGGTGACTATGGTCCCAGCTGCCTTGAGATAATTGACAAGATCCTCCCGTGTAGTTCTGGGCTTGATTCCTCACCGTTCTCATGATCATTGCAACTCCACAAGGTGATATCTTGCATGGAGCCCCAGGCCGAGGGAGATTTACAGTTATTTTGTGTTTCTTCCATTTGCGAATAATCGCACCAACTGTTGTCACCTTCTCACCAAGCTGCTTGGCGATGGTCTTGTAGCCCATTCCAGCCTTGTGTAGGTCTACAGTCTTGTCCCTGACATCCTTGGAGAGCTCTTTGGTCTTGGTGGAGAGTTTGGAATCTGATTGATTGATTGCTTCTGTGGACAGGTGTCTTTTATACAGGTAACAAGCTGAGATTAGGAGCACTCCCTTTAAGAGTGTGCTCCTAATCTCAGCTCGTTACCTGTATTAAAGACACCTGGGAGCCAGAAATCGTTCTGATTGAGAGGGGGTCAAATACTTATTTCCCTCATTAAAATGCAAATCAATTTATAACATTTTTGATTGATTTTTTTGTTGTTATTCTGTTTCTCACTGTTCAAATAAACCTACCATTAAAATTATAGACTGATCCTTTCTTTGTCAGTGGGCAAATGTACAAAATCAGCAGGGGATCAAATACTTTTTTCCCTCACTGTATATACTGCATTCTATTCTATAATATTCTACTGTATCTTAGTCCATGCCGCTCTGTCATTGCTTGTCCATATGTATATTTTCTTAAATTCTATTCCGTTTTGTGTGTATTAGGTATATGTTGTGAAATTGTTAGATATTACTTGTTAGATATTACTGCACTAGAAGTACGTCAGAACTAGAAGCACAAGCATTTCGCTACACCCGCTATAACATCTGCTAAACGAGTGTATGTGACAAATAACATTTGATTTGATTTGGTCATTATGGCCAAACAGTTCTATTTTTGTTTCATCAGACCAGAGGACATTTTTCCAAAAAGTACAATCTTTGTCCCCATGTGCAGTTGCAAACCGTAGTCTGGCTTTTTTATGGCGGTTTTGGAGCAGTGGCTACTTCCTTGCTGAGCGGCCTTTCAGGTTATGTCGATTTAGGACTTGTTTTACTGTGGATATAGATACTTTTGTACCTGTTTCCTCCAGCATCTTCACAAGGTCCTTTGCTGTTGTTCTGGGATTGATTTGCACTTTTCGCACCAAAGTACGTTCAACTCTAGGAAACAGAACGCGTCTCCTTCCTGAGCGGTATGATGGCTGTGTGGTCCCATGGTGTTTATACTTGCATACTATTGTTTGTACAGATGAATTTGGTACCTTCAGGCGTTTGGAAGTTGCTCCCAAGGATGAACCAGACTAGTAGAGGTCTACAATGTTTTTTCTGAGGTCTTGTCTGATTTCTTTAGATTTTCCCATGATGTCAAGCAAAGAGGCACTGAGTTTGAAGGTAGGCCTTGAAATACATCCACAGGTATACCTCCAATTGACTCAAATGACGTCAATTAGCCTATCAGAAGCTTCTAAAGCCATGACATCATTTTCTGGAATTTTTCAAGCTGTTTAAAGGCACAGTCAACTTAGTGTATGTAAACTTCTGACCCACTGGAATTGTGATACAGTGAATTATAAGTGAAATAATTGTTGAAAAAATTACTTGTGTCATGCACAAAGTAGTTTGTTAACAAGAAATGTGTAGTTTTAATGACTCCAACCTAAGTGTATGTAAACTTCCGACTTCAACTGTGTGTGTGTGTGTGTGTGTGTGTGTGTGTGTGTGTGTACAGTGGGGGGAAAAGTATTTAGTCAGCCAGCCACCAATTGTGCAAGTTCTCCCATTTAAAAAGATGAGAGAGGCCTGTAATTTTCATCATACGTACACGTCAACTATGACAGACAAATTGAGAATTTTTTTCTCCAGAAAATCACATTGTAGGATTTTTAATGAATTTATTTGCAAATTATGGTGGAAAATAAGTATTTGGTCACCTACAAACAAGCAAGATTTCTTGCTCTCACAGACCTGTAACTTCTTCTTTAAGAGGCTCCTCTGTCCTCCACTCGTTACCTGTATTAATGGCACCTGTTTGAACTTGTTATCAGTATAAAAGACACCTGTCCACAACCTCAAACAGTCACACTCCAAACTCCACTATGGCCAAGACCAAAGAGCTGTCAAAGAACACCAGAAACAAAATTGTAGACCTGCACCAGGCTGGGAAGACTGAATCTGCAATAGGTAAGCAGCTTGGTTTGAAGAAATCAACTGTGGGAGCAATTATTAGGAAATGGAAGACATACAAGACCACTGATAATCTCCCTCGATCTGGGGCTCCACGCAAGATCTCACCCTGTGGGGTCAAAATGATAACAGAACCACACGGGGGGACCTAGTGAATGACCTGCAGAGAGCTGGGACCAACGTGTCCCCCTGCTTAAGCCAGTACATGTCCAGGCCCGTCTGAAGTTTGCTAGAGTGCATTTGGATGATCCAGAATGTCATATGGTCAGATGAAACCAAAATATAACTTTTTGGTAAAAACTCAACTCGTCGTGTTTGGAGGACAAAGAATGCTGAGTTGCATCCAAAGAACACCATACCTACTGTGAAGCATGGGGTGGAAACATCATGCTTTGGGGCTGTTTTTCTGCAAAGGGACCAGGACGACTGATCCGTGTAAAGGAAAGAATGAATGTGGCCATGTATCGTGAGATTTTGAGTGAAAACCTCCTTCCATCAGCAAGGGCATTGAAGATGAAACGTGGCTGGGTCTTTCAGCATGACAATGATCCCAAACACACCGCCCGGGCAACGAAGCAGTGGCTTCGTAAGAAGCATTTCAAGGTCCTGGAGTGGCCTAGCCAGTCTCCAGATCTCAACCTCATAGAAAATCTTTGGAGGGAGTTGAAAGTCCGTGTTACCCAGCGACAGCCCCAAAACATCACTGCTCTAGAGGAGATCTGCATGGAGGAATGGGCCAAAATACCAGCAACAGTGTGTGAAAACCTTGTGAAGACTTACAGAAAACGTTTGACCTGTGTCATTGCCAACAAAGGGTATATAACAAAGTATTGAGAAACTTTTGTTATTGACCAAATACTTATTTTCCACCATAATTTGCAAATAAATTCATTAAAAATCCTACAATGTGATTTTCTGGATTTTTTTTTCTCATTTTGTCTGTCATAGTTGACGTGTACCTATGATGAAAATTACAGGCCTCTCTCATCTTTTTAAGTGGGAGAACTTGCACAATTGGTGGCTGACTAAATACTTTTTTTCCCCACTGTATGTATGTATGTAGGCTACTACCTCTGCCAAGGGGTCTAATCATTTATGGCACATGTGGTATGGTATTAGCCCCATGGAATGCTGGTTCAAGCCTCCCTCCACTGTTACCCTCTCAATAACCTAATAGCCCACACTGAGGAAGGGTCCTGTCTAGAGAGTTGTCTGGGGTGTGGAGAGATGTGACGTCTTGGTCGAAGTGCAAGGCGCATGCCGCATAATCCAATGCATAAAATGAGCGCACTTGGACGTTTTAAATATAAAAGCAACAATGTCGATCTAGGTCAGAGAAAATAGACTGTTAATATGATATAAAATAAGCCATAGAAATAAACTCAGCAATAAAATAAACGTCCTCTCACTGTCAACTCTGTTAATTTTCAGCAAACTTAACATGTAAATATTTGTATGAACATAACAAGATTCAACAACTGAGACATAAACTGAACACGTTCCACAGACATGTGACTAACAGAAATGGAATAATGTGTCCCTGAACAAAGGGGGGGGGGGGGGGGGTCAAAATCAAAAGTAACGGTCAGTATCTGGTGTGGCCACCAGCTGCATTAAGTACTGCAGTGCATCTTCTCCTCATGGACTGCACCAGATTTGCCTGTTCTTGCTGTGAGATGTTACCCCACTCTTCCACCAAGGCACCTGCAAGTTCCCTGACATTTCTGGGGGGAATGGCCCTAGCCCTCACCCTGCGATCCAACAGGTCCCAGACGTGCTCAATGGATTGAGATCCGGGCTCTTCGCTGGCCATGGCAGAACACTGACATTCCTGTCTTGCGGGAGATCACGCACAGAACGAGCAGTATGGCTGGTGGCATTGTCATGCTGGAGGGTCATGTCAGGATGAGCCTGCAGGAAGGGTACCACATGAGGGAGGAGGATGTCTTCCCTGTAACTCACAGCGTTGAGATTGCCTGCAATGACAACAAGCTCAGTCCGATGATGCTGTGACACACCGCCCCACACCATGACGGACCCTCCACCTCCAAATCGATCCCGCTCCAGAGTACAGGGCTCGGTGTAACACTCATTCCTTCGACGATAAACGCAAATCCGACCATCACCCCTAGTGAGACAAAACCGCGACTCGTCAGTGAAGAGCACTTTTTGCCAGTCCTGTCTGGTCCAGCAACGGTGGGTTTGTGCCCATAGGCGACGTTGTTGCCGGTGATGTCTGGTGAGGACCTGCCTTACAACAGGCCTACAAGCCCTCAGTCCAGCCTCTCTCAGTGTATTGTGGACAGTCTGAGCACTGATGGAGGGATTGTGCGTTCCTGGTGTAACTCTGGCAGTTGTTGTTGCCATCCTGTACCTGTCCCGCAGGTGTGATGTTCGGATGTACCGATCCTGTGCAGGTGTTGTTACACGTGGTCTGCCACTGCGAGGACGATCAGCTGTCCATCCTGTCTCCCTGTAGTGCTGTCTTAGGGGTCTCACAGTACGGACATTGCAATTTATTGCCCTGGCCACATCTGCAGTCCTCATGCCTCCTTGCAGCATGCCTAAGGCACGTTCATGCAGATGAGCAGGGACCCTGGGCATCTTTCTTTTGATGTTTTTCAGAGTCAGTAGAAAGGCCTCTTTAGTGTCCTAAATTTTCATAACTGTGACCTTAATTGCCTACCGTCTGTAAGCTGTTTGTGTCTTTAACGACCCTTCCACAGGTGCATGTTCGTTAATTGTTTATGGGTCATTGAACAAGCATCGGAAACAGTGTTTAAACCCTTTACAATGAAGATCTGTGAAGTTATTTGGATTTTTACGAATTATCTTTGAAAGATAGGGACCTGAAAAAGGGACGTTTCTTTTTTTGCTGAGTTTATGTTTATATTTCCATGGGCCTTAACTCCATTGTAGGATTTCCCAAACATTTCCTAAGTACAGCTAAGGCCACTGATTTACCTTCGAGCAAAAGCATCGCAAAGCACACAATTGGAACCATCTTTCGCATTTAGGATGAATAAATCCAGAAGGAAACAGGAGGATGTTGGATCAACACAAATAACCGCTCCTTTGTTTAAATCCATCCAGGTTTGCATGACGTCCATTCAACCCCAATTGAACTCAATTGCTGATAACAGCCCACATTTTCCATTCGTCCTCTGCGCGCTGTAGGGCAGCGCTTATTGCTTGGCAGGGGAGGTTGCATGCCTGCTCAGACACTGAATAGGACCCTGGCTATCACGTAAAACGTGCAGACCGGGGGAAACCAGATGCCCCCCGACCATCGGCTCAACACAGGATCTATTCGGCTGTAAATCAAACTCTTGGCAGGTGTTTGCGAGGCAGCAACAGGTTGAGGCAGAATATTCAATATAATAGGCCTAGGCCTACCAATTGGCTTGGATATCAGGTTTGGATAGGGCATAGGAATGGTTTGTGTGATTTTATCATCATGGATGCCAGGGTAGTCAAATGGTTAGGCCTACAATTTCCCATCAAATACAAAGACTCCGATTGTGGGTGTTGGTTGCCTTGGAGGGCCCTCAGGAGACCTGGGTACATTTTAGTCATTTAGCAGACGCTCTTATCCAGAGCGACTAACAGTGGCATACATTTTCATACTGGCCCCACGTGGGAAACGAACCCACAACCCTGGCGTTGTAAGCGCCATGCTCTACCAACTGAGCTACAGGGTAATAGGGCATTGAGGGAAGAGATGGTACATGATTATATCTGGGTGGTATAACCAGTAGATGTGTTCCTGTGAGGGTATTCAAGTCCAAAACACAGGGTTGTCTTCTTCACAAAACCTCAACCTGGGACCTAAACTGTTACCACCCTGACAATCACTGTTAGATCACCTCTCACTTTACTAAGTATCATTGGACCTACACTAAATCCCACAGCTTGTCTCAGCTCTGGCAGAAGACTTGGTGGCGTGCCAGGGGAGAGATATTCATCAAGGTAACAAAAAGAGATACAAAACAAGCTTTTCTGACTTGGGAAACCTGAGGCTGGGTTAGTCTGTATCTCGATAGCAGGTGTCGCTGTGCAGCAGGGGAGTCTGCTTGGGTCGCAATAGGGACACTAAGGCCTAACTCCAGTCCCCACACACAGTAGGCCTATTTACACACAGACTGATACACACAAGCTTGTAAGGGCATTCTTCCCAGTGCAGGCAGGCTGCAATATGGGTATCAGAGAGCACTGCCAGGTTCACTCCTGTGATAAAAGATGGACCTGTTGGCAAGGCTGGCTCAGACACAACATGCTACCTACCCTGCCATCTGGTTGTGTTCAGCCTAATAACTCTCGCCTGACTACACGAACAATATGCTCTGTGGCTTTTCTCAAACATGAACTGATAGCCCATTGTACAATGTGTTAATCTACTAGCATGTGGGTTTTTAAATCATGTCTATTGACAGAATCAACCCATTTAGTCCTTTGGTGATGGTGCAGTGCATACAAATTAACTTATTGAAATAAATATGCATATGTATGAAGCATGGTTACACGCACACAATTCTAAATCGTATTTAATATGCATGTTCTACTTTCCCCAAGTATTTAATTCCCACTGGACTTTGTTTCTTCCAGCGTTATAAATTTAGCTCCTCACCCTAGATTTTTACACACATACAGGGAGGGAAGGCTACTAATCGCACACACACATATGCAAACACAATCAAAATAATTCTGCAATATAATTAATTTCTAAAGAGTACATAACATCCCCACACATTTTGGATTAATTTACAGACTTTAATAGCTTTATTTACAGATGAATTATTTTGACCGTTTTTTTTACCTCTGTTGGCGTAGTTCAGTGGATGCGATATCTTTCAAACCACTATTTTTTTAACTCCCAGTCTTAATTTGCTTGAGTAGCGTTATCAGTGAGCATTTCCGTTTTGTTTTCTTTCTAAAAACCGGAATCTAATCATCTTCCTATAGGAGGCCAGAACCAGATAAAAAAAAGGGGAAGAAGAAAGAGTGATGATGATGATAGTCATGACAGGGTTGAGAGGGGTGTGGCTACCTGCTGATGGGGTGGGCAGGGGAGTTTGGGATAGTAAGACTTAGACAGGTGACACATGATGTGGCTACTGCAAGTGCTAGGAAACATCAGTGATGTGGTAAGTGCCAAAATGGTGGAGATGGCTCTGTTCAAACAATCCTACACCGCTTCCTTACTTTCTTCAAGGTCATAACTGATGTAAAAGGATTGTATAAGTCATAGGACACCAGTGGAGAGTGTTTGGACAAAGCCAGCGAGTCTGAAGGAGTTGGGATGGTAATGGACATGAATAGGGTCCAGCATGAGTAGAGAGGAAGAGGAATGGCACATGGCCTAAGGGAAGGAGTCATTTGATTGAGGTATGTGAAATGATGGAAGGGAATAGTGCCAACGAGAAGATAGCAGGGAAGATGGAGGAGAGTGGTACAGCGATGATGACGACAATGAGAGAAATGCCAGGAGGTTGAGAGGGGGTATCCAACAGGTAGATGTGAGGGGTCAGAGGAACAGCAGAGAATAGAAGAGGGCTTCAGATGGAGGGAGACTGAAGGAGAGGGGTATGGAGGGGTCAGGTGGGGGCGTTGAGACTCAGTTACTGAGCAGTAGCTCTGTTGCTGTTTCCACATCCCAGGATTTCGACGACAACGCCACTATTACTGCATTCTATGGAGATAGGATAAACAGGAGCGTAAGAAGTTTATAACACTGTCATAACTGTGATACAGTATTCAAACAAAACTGAGATCCATTGGTGAACCATATTAAAACGGGATCAAAGAACACCACCTATCAACAGTGATATTGTAATACGATAATAAAGTGTAAATGACTTATGAAGGTATGAGACAGTAATAAGGGGTTGGTCACTCACTTTGTCAAAGCCCATGGCACAGAGTTTGTCTATTTTGCGGGTGTACTCTGGACTGGACGAGGGGGCGCCGGCATACACATGAGACCAGAGTCTGGCTGTCTGTTTGAACATCTCTGGGTTCTGCTTATACTGGAGAGAGAGAGAGCAAAAAAATAGAGAAAAGGAGAGAGAGAGAAAGACCACACCACAATATTGAGCAGGCAGCAAGACCGCAGCATAGAAACCTCACTAGGCTACAATTTAGTAAATCCCATTTAGTTTACAAACAAATGACAAAAATCTACAAACATTACAGGCATACTTATTATGCATGCTCTCCCACACACAGACACCCAGTATTCCTCTCACCTGATTGGCCACCACAGCATCCTGTGGGTCATCTGGTTCTGCAGCTGCCAGTAAGGCCTGTAGTGACAGCAGCACTGTCCTCAGCGTCATAGCTGCCGCCCTGTCAGACACAGAGGAGAGGGTGTTAGAGTCCTAAGAACTGGGATCAGCCGTAACAAAGACATGACAATGAAAAAACGAGACCTTTTAAGAGTATTTGAACAGAGTGACTTACCACTGGTCTTTGAGGATGTCCAGACATATAGCACCTGTGACTGAGCTGATGTTGGGATGCCAGATCTTTGTGATAAATCGCACCTGGGGGGCCGTGGGAAGCACATAAACAAGCATGTGAATTAGCGAAGGACTTTACCCTGGCAAAGGTCAATGTGGTCAAAATTCACAACTGAACGACAAACATTAGAATATGTTAGATTTTTATACATACCTTTGGTGGATTGAAAGGATATGTTTCTGGAATTTTAATTTCTAGTTGATATCTGCCACCTGAAAAGTACAGAAAGCAAATAGTTATGACAGCAAGAACTCCAACATATGCACAAGTTCTGACTAAAATATGGGATCAAGCGACTGCTCAAATTGTCTGTAATCTTTTGCATGACACAACCCTCACTCCCTTCAGGCAAAACTGATTTGAATCCTATTGTGGAGCAGTAGACAGACTGGAGTTTGCCCAAGGTAAGGTAAGTAAGTCTGCCTCAGCCCTCAACTCAACACAGGTAGGTCTGTCCCAGGTAAACCAGTTAGGTGTGTCCACAGTCCCAAGTCAGCACCCCCCCTGGGCCTCTCACCTTCATACGGCGTGTCAGGTGGCCCTGCGATCTCCCCCTTCAGCTCTGTGAAGTTCTCATCCACCAGGTCCACCTTTATCTGGTTTTTACTCGTCTGTCAGAGAAGAAGAGAGAAGCAGAGGTCATCAGTTGGTTATGTTGGGGTGTAAAGGAAAGGAGGGGTAGCCATAAGAGGGTACCTCAAGTCTACCAAACTTCCTCTCAACACAGACATACTCACAGAACGGTGAAAGCTAATTCGTTTACATGATCTGTCTCCTTCCACTTGAATATGACAGATAATTTGATAAGAAGCAACAGTATGAGAGGTTTGGCAGTTCCAAGTAGTGACTTGTGCTACAGATTCATACGGGATATGCTAAACTAGTTAGCTAACGTTAACTCCATTCACTATTGCAGTACTACCATGACATGACATTTATGTTGCTCAATACCTTTAACTTGCAATGCATGGCATGAAGCATGTCATAATCACCTGCAACAGGACAAGTAGGTAGAAAATGTCACGCTAGCTTTCGAACCCAAATCTGCCAATGCGGCAGAAGTTGACACCCTGGTAGTAAAGACACAGCGTTAACTGTGGGTGGCAAATATCATACTTTTTAGTTGACTAGTTAGCTACCACCCCTAGTTTGACTTCATAAAGGTTCATTAAGCCTAATATTAAATCAGTGTGGGGCGTATTTGCGTGACTTCTTTCATTACTCTCACAACCCTGGCCTATAGCTAGCTAGCTACCGTTAGTTAGCTACCTTCGTTAGAAACGCTAACGTTAGCATCCAGGCAGGGAATTTCCTGTAGGCTAGTTAAGTTAGCAGCATAACGTTAACCAACGTTGCGAAAAATCCAATCACGCGTTCCTTCCTTGGCCTTCGTTTGCAAGCAAGGTAGTTAGCGCCTTGTCCTTCACTTTTGTTAACATCTGGCTAAGTAACCTCAGTAGCTAGCTAACAAAACACTCATTTTCAACAACAGCCAATATGTTAGACACCAACTCAGCTAGCAATTTAGCGTAGCCTCACGGTCGATTGAAAAAAAATAAGCCCACCTCCTCGCTTTTGAGAACCTCTTTAAATTCCCGTTTTATCCTTTGAACCGCGATGTTGGCCATGATTTCGCCGTGTTTCTGTCGGAAGGGAACACGATCCTCTCGCTCAGTCAGGCCTCGCTTGGCTTCAGCCCTCCTAGTAGCTAGCTAACTTAGCTAATTCGCAGTCCCCCTCGCACTTTCGTTCTATCTGCCTGTCACTTTGGATCCGAGCAACAATAACAGTTGCAAGGTACAGCTAGTTACCACTAAATGCTAAGTTCTGCGGAAACGTGACTGAGCCCCGATGTCATAAAATATAAGGCTAGCTAGTTACAAAAGATCCGAGGGACATTTGTCTTTTCTCGCAATATTGCAACAATGTACGCAGTTCACGGTCGGTGATCCTGGAAACATTTTAATACCAACTGCATGCAAGCTGAAATGCGGATCATGTGATTTCGACAGCATTGCTTTTCTGTACGCTGCTTGCTATTAGTTCCCTCCCTGTCATTACATTTTGGAGACGCTTATGTCAGCAATAACTGGTACACCTATTTATTGTATAAGTGGACAATGAAAAACAGGCCTATAATTGCTTATATATGCTTGATTATATTGTCCAAAGTATAAATTAATTGAACATACATAAATAATGACACTACATTTAACATTATATTTATTGTTACCTAGCTGAACCTCAATGATGCAACATGGGGCAACATTAAGAATCTGCCTATAGAAAAATATGTATCTGGGTCACAACTCTCAATTCAACAGTATACACTTATGTGGTTCACTGCTTCATAAACCCTGACTGGATCTAGAATGATGACGGGGGAAGCGATAAGCATAGGATAAGAACAACGTCAAACGTTATTCTATCAATCTATCAAAACAAACAAAGCCTTCCCTTATTTGTATTAGTGATCTTTGGCTGTCTCAACCTAGAAAAACTGTTTCATGTGGAGATGCCATATCTCTACAAATGACAGCTCAATATGACTTATCTATCTACGTATGTCAGTTCATTTGTATACTAAAATCAGAATCAGACTCTGTGGTAAACTATGGTATTCATTCGTCCTCTACTCTGTCTCTGACTATTTTCTACCTTTCTCAGCTTGTTTATCATGGTCAGTTCTTTGTCTCTCTGTTATCTCACCAAGGGCCTTGAACCAGCGTTGGGACAAAATACCCCCACTAGGGGGTAGCAGTGTCTCAAAGAAACAGTGCGTACATGAGCAGCAACATTTCTGGCACAATCAAAGCTTCTACAACAGAAAACATCAACTTTGAAAAAGGGAAAGCTGCAACATACACTTGTATTTTATTGAATTTCATATATAGCAAATTATTATGGTTTCATTGACATAATGTATTTACAAGGACATTGCACATCATCTTCACTAAAAACTGAACAAGTGCTTGAGTTGGCCATCAGTAGATAACATTTCTCTGGAGCCCAGAGAGAAAAATACTTCTGCCATCAGTCCAGACTCCCTATGATTACAAGTATACAAAGATATGAGATCAGGACACAGAGTGATGCACACTAACAAGTCATACAGGCCAGTCAATTGTTGGCCCACACGATCAGTCCATCACAATAGCAGCATTCATAGAAGGGTCTCAAGTTATAACCAACCGCTGTCATTGAAAAAACAAAACAGTCTCATGGCTACATCATATTCATGTCTGTGATAGTTTACAAACTGTCAATTGTATTCATTGGAGATACATTGTTTTTCAATATGTGGGATCTCTAGGGCTCAGACAGAGAAACTCTATTAGTCACTTGGTGTTGGTAAAGATGACCACTTGGCCCTCGCTGATCCCGCTGTGTTGAGCACAGTCCCAGTGGGCTTGTGGAGTAGAATGAAGTTAGGATTTGGGGGGGCAGGATGATCCTAGACCTGTCCCTAAGAACCACTACAACAGGACCAAACCCCTAGCGGCGGACCACGTGGATCCTATCCGTTACACGCTGCAGGGCCACTCTCTCCCACAGCTGACACTTCATCCCCAATGGGACAGGACACACCGGCACCCCCACCCTCCTTCTCCTAGTCCTCTTCCTCCTGACGATGACGATGATGACTGCCACCAGCACAGCTAGCGTGATGAGGAGACATGAAGCAAAGAACAGTAGTGGTTTGTTCTCTGAGATGTGAGCGCAGATGGAACACACCGTCCTGTGGTTGCTGTCCCTACAGGAAGATGTGACGTTGTTGCCAGGGAAACCGCTGCGGTCAATGATCTCTCGGTAGGTTGTGATGGAGGCTTTGGGTTGGGACTGGTGCTGGAAAGAGGTGATGAGGCCGAACTGAGGGGCGTGTCGATCCTGCAGCTTCCAGATGTAGAAGCCCTTTAGGTTGACTCCATCCAACTGACGAGCTGGAGGGGAGAGAAGACAGGGAGAAGTGGGAGGTCAGAATCACAATTTATACATACAGAAAAGCAATTTTAAGCAATAACAACAGAGAGAAGCTGCAACCTGTGTGGGGGGCCATAAACCAACTGAAGCTTTATTGTGGCTACAGTACTGCACAGGATGTTTATCTCAGTACAAACAGGACAGTTCTCACTGGGATTCACTTTATGATCTCAAAGGTTTCTCATACAGTAAAGTCCATGAGTTTTATGAGGGGGCTCGTGATGTTAAGGCCGTGCTGTGGTGTGTTAGGAAATTATCTGGAAGACCCGTCACCTTCGACCTCTCATACTAAAAGCTGCTAATGTGTGCCCTACACTACCTGTCTGCAGAAGAAACTGCAGAGAGGAGGTTGGTTTATTTAGGAACATTTGGAACTATAGAAATAAGCATAGAACCTCTAGGATATTTATGATAAGAGCAATCTAGTGGTTTAGCGTTGGACTGGGGTTGGGGGGGGGGGGGGGTTTAACAGGAGTTTGAATGGGTTAGGGAGAGCCTCACCTCTGAGGGCCTCCTCCAGGTAGCTCTTGATGTAGTGCTGCCTGAGAAGATCCTTTAGTGGGGCCTGATCGTCAACCCCGCTGGCTGTGACTACAACCGGCAGACCCCCTCCATACCGCTCCTTCACCCAGTGCAGCACCCTCCGGAGGCCCCAGGGGACCACCGCCTGCCCCAGGCCAGAGGAGGCCCAGGTGGGGTCAGACATCAGCAGGCAGTCATGGTCTGGAGGTTGAGGTTGCTGGGGTTTAGGTGGGGCAGTCTGAGGAGAATAGGGGCGTGGTGACACGAGACGCGTGGTGAAGTGGTTCAGTGCGATGAAGCCCAGCGCCCCTCGTAGCTCTTCTCTTTCCCGGTCGGTGAAGTGCGGTAGTGGGGATCCAGGGAGGCCCATCACCCTCGCCCTCTCCTCCAAGTATCTCCTCACCTCTGGAGGGTACATGCCACTCTTGCCCTCCCCCTCTCTGCCCCCTAGTAGTGGGTCTAGGAAACGACCCAGCTCAAACAACAGGAATCTCTGAGTGGCGGTTGCATGTGACTCCAGGAAGGGATTGGCGGGTTCTGCCCAGTCTGCGTGCAGGGCCAGGGACACCAGTCCTCCCTGTTGGCTGAGATACTCCCTCTCATAGAGCCTCCAGACCTTAGCGTGGGCCAGGAGGAGGTTATGGGCTGCCAGATGCTGCTCCTCTCCGCTCTTGTAGGCATCCACCAGTCTGTTGGGCTCATTGATGGTGATCCAGTAGCTGACCCAGGGCCCCAGCTCCCTGTAGCAGAGGGCTGCATAGCTCTTAGTCTAAATTCAGTGTACTTGTCTTTAACTGCCATTTCCCGAAAGTCAATCTTCCCACATGCCAACTAATTTTCCTCAGCTTCAGAAGTATCTATATTCACCGAATGTTGTGTGGTTATCCTTGGATATATTCTCGAGACTTGCCCAGAGTGAATTGTTGATATGTTGTAAATGTTTTATTCTAGATGGCATTTTCTTAAGAAAAATTTGCCAAAAATGCATTTTAGGTACATGTCTTTAGTATTTTACAGATAGAAAGATGAGAAAAAAGTATTTATCCACAATCTGCTCTGAGTAAATCCGGTCCTGGAGTGTCTTAACAAAATGAAATCAAAATATTTAGACTGACTTAATCCGATGCCCTGAAAAATGGATTTGAACGATATGCAAATATGTGCATATTTAATTACATTTTTACATTTTAGTCATTTAGCAGACGCTCTTATCCAGAGCGACTTACAGGAGCAATTAGGGTTAAGTGCCTTGCTCAAGGGCACATTTACGTCATTTAGCAGACGCTCTTATCCAGAGCAACTACAAATTGGTGCATTCACCCTATAGCCAGTGGGATAACCACTTTACAATTATACTATTTTTTTTTTTTTTGGGGGGGGGGGGGGGGGGGGGGGGGGGGGTAGAAGGATTACTTTATCCTATCCCAGGTGTTCCATAAAGAGGTGGGGTTTCAAATGTCTCCGGAAGGTGGTGAGTGACTCCGCTGTCCTGGCGTCGTGAGGGAGCTTGTTCCACCATTGGGGTGCCAGAGCAGCGAACAGCTTTGACTGGGCTGAGCGGGAACTATGCTTCCGCAGAGGAAGGGGAGCCAGCAGGCCAGAGGTGGATGAACGCAATGCCCTCGCCTGGGTGTAGGGACTGATCAGAGCCTGAAGGTACGGAGGTGCCGTTCCCCTCACTGCTCCATAGGCAAGCACCATGGTCTTGTAACGGATGTGAGCTTCAACTGGAAGCCAGTGGAGTGTGCGGAGGAGGGGGGTGATGTGAGAGAACTTGGGAAGGTTGAACACCAGACGGGCTGCGGCATTCTGGATGAGTTGTAGGGGTTTAATGGCACAGGCAGGGAGCCCAGCCAACAGCGAGTTGCAGTAATCCAGACGGGAGATGACAAGTGCCTGGATTAGGACCTGTGCCGCTTCCTGTGTAAGGCAGGGTCGTACTCTCCGAATGTTGTAGAGCATGAACCTTTAGGATCGGGTCACCGCCTTGATGTTGGCGGAGAACGACAGGGTGTTGTCCAGGGTCACGCCAAGGCTCTTCGCACTCTGGGAGGAGGACACAACAGAGTTGTCAACCGTGATGGCGAGATCATGGAACGGGCAGTCCTTCCCCGGGAGGAAGAGCAGCTCCGTCTTGCCAGGGTTCAGCTTGAGGTGGTGATCCGTCATCCATACTGATATGTCGGCCAGACATGCAGAGATGCGATTCACCACCTGGTTATCAGAAGGGGGAAAGGAGAAGATTAGTTGTGTATCGTCAGCGTAGCAATGATAGGAGAGGCCATGTGAGGATATGACAGAGCCAAGTGACTTGGTGTATAGGGAGAAAAGGAGAGGGCCTAGAACTGAGCCCTGGGGGACACCAGTGGTGAGAGCACGTGGTGCGGAGACAGCTTCTCGCCACGCCACTTGGTAGGAGCGACCGGTCAGGTAGGACGCAATCCAGGAGTGAGCCGCGCCGGAGATGCCCAGCTCGGAGAGGGTGGAGAGGAGGATCTGATGGTTCACTGTATCAAAGGCAGCAGACAGGTCTAGAAGGACAAGAGCAGAGGAGAGAGAGTTAGCTTTAGCAGTGCGGAGAGCCTCCGTGACACAGAGAAGAGCAGTCTCAGTTGAATGACCAGTCCTGAAACCTGACTGGTTTGGATCAAGAAGGTCATTCTGAGAGAGATAGCAAGAGAGTTGGCTAAAGACGGCACGCTCAATAGTTTTGGAAAGAAAAGGAAGAAGGGATACTGGTCTGTAGTTGTTGACATCAGTGGGATCGAGTGTTGGTTTTTTGAGAAGGGGTGCAACTCTCGCTCTCTTGAAGACGGAAGGGACATGGCCAGCGGTCAAGGATGAGTTGATCAGCGAGGTGAGGTAGGGGAGAAGGTCACCGGAGATGGTCTGGAGAAGAGAGGAGGGGATGGGGTCAAGCGGGCAGGTTGTTGGGCGGCCTGCAGTCACTAGTCGCAAGATTTTATCTGGAGAGAGAGGGGAGAAAGAAGTCAAAGCATAGGGTAGGGCAGTGTGAGCAGGACCAGCAGTGTCATTAGACTTAACAAACGAGGATCGGATGTCGTCAACCTTCTTTTCAAAGTGGTTGACAAAGTCATCCACAGAGAGGGAGGAGGGGGGGGGGGGGGGGGATTCAGCAGTGAGGAGAATGTGGCAAAGAGCTTCCTAGGGTTAGAGGCAGATGCTTGGAATTTAGAGTGGTAGAAAGTGGCCTTAGCAGCAGAAACAGATGAAGAAAATGTAGAGAGGAGGGAGTGAAAAGATGCCAGGTCGGCAGGGAGTTTAGTTTTCTTCCATTTCCGCTCAGCTGCCCGGAGCTCTGTTCTGTGAGCTCGCAATGAGTCATCAAGCCACAGAGCTGGAGGGGAGGACCGAGCCGGCCGGGAGGATAGGGGACACAGGGAGTCAAAGGATGCAGAAAGGGAGGAGAGGAGGGTTGAGGAGGCAGAATCAGGAGATTGGAGGGAGAAGGATTGAGCAGAGGGAAGAGACATATCAGAGACATAGGGAAGAGGGAAGAGACACATCAGAGACATATCACCTCATTTTGTGTTTTTTATTTTAAGCTTCTACAACAGAAAACATCAACTTTGAAAAAGGGAAAGCTGCAACATACACTTGTATTTTATTGAATTTCATATATAGCAAATTATTATGGTTTCATTGACAGAATGTATTTACAAGGACATTGCACATCATCTTCACTAAAAAACTGAACAAGTGCTTGAGTTGGCCATCAGTAGATAACATTTCTCTGGAGCCCAGAGAGAAAAATACTTCTGCCATCAGTCCAGACTCCCTATGATTACAAGTATACAAAGATATGAGATCAGGACACAGAGTGATGCACACTAACAAGTCATACAGGCCAGTCAATTGTTGGCCCACACGATCAGTCCATCACAATAGCAGCATTCATAGAAGGGTCTCAAATTATAACCAACCGCTGTCATTGAAAAAACAAAACAGTCTCATGGCTACATCATATTCATGTCTGTGATAGTTTACAAACTGTCAATTGTATTCATTGGAGATACATTGTTTTTCAATATGTGGGATCTCTAGGGCTCAGACAGAGAAACTCTATTAGTCACTTGGTGTTGGTAAAGATGACCACTTGGCCCTCGCTGATCCCGCTGTGTTGAGCACAGTCCCAGTGGGCTTGTGGAGTAGAATGAAGTTAGGATTTGGGGGGGTAGGATGATCCTAGACCTGTCCCTAAGAACCACTACAACAGGACCAAACCCCTAGCGGCGGACCACGTGGATCCTATCCGTTACACGCTGCAGGGCCACTCTCTCCCACAGCTGACACTTCATCCCCAATGGGACAGGACACACCGGCACCCCCACCCTCCTTCTCCTAGTCCTCTTCCTCCTGACGATGACGATGATGACTGCCACCAGCACAGCTAGCGTGATGAGGAGACATGAAGCAAAGAACAGTAGTGGTTTGTTCTCTGAGATGTGAGCGCAGATGGAACACACCGTCCTGTGGTTGCTGTCCCTACAGGAAGATGTGACGTTGTTGCCAGGGAAACCGCTGCGGTCAATGATCTCTCGGTAGGTTGCGATGGAGGCTTTGGGTTGGGACTGGTGCTGGAAAGAGGTGATGAGGCCGAACTGAGGGGCGTGTCGATCCTGCAGCTTCCAGATGTAGAAGCCCTTTAGGTTGACTCCATCCAACTGACGAGCTGGAGGGGAGAGAAGACAGGGAGAAGTGGGAGGTCAGAATCACAATTTATACATACAGAAAAGCAATTTTAAGCAATAACAACAGAGAGAAGCTGCAACCTGTGTGGGGGGCCATAAACCAACTGAAGCTTTATTGTGGCTACAGTACTGCACAGGATGTTTATCTCAGTACAAACAGGACAGTTCTCACTGGGATTCACTTTATGATCTCAAAGGTTTCTCATACAGTAAAGTCCATGAGTTTTATGAGGGGGCTCGTGATGATAAGGCCGTGCTGTGGTGTGTTAGGAAATTATCTGGAAGACCCGTCACCTTCGACCTCTCATACTAAAAGCTGCTAATGTGTGCCCTACACTACCTGTCTGCAGAAGAAACTGCAGAGAGGAGGTTGGTTTATTTAGGAACATTTGGAACTATAGAAATAAGCATAGAACCTCTAGGATATTTATGATAAGAGCAAGCTAGTGGTTTAGCGTTGGACTGGGGTTGGGGGGGGGGGGTTTAACAGGAGTTTGAATGGGTTAGGGAGAGCCTCACCTCTGAGGGCCTCCTCCAGGTAGCTCTTGATGTAGTGCTGCCTGAGAAGATCCTTTAGTGGGGCCTGATCGTCAACCCCGCTGGCTGTGACTACAACCGGCAGACCCCCTCCATACCGCTCCTTCACCCAGTGCAGCACCCTCCGGAGGCCCCAGGGGACCACCGCCTGCCCCAGGCCAGAGGAGGCCCAGGTGGGGTCAGACATCAGCAGGCAGTCATGGTCTGGAGGTTGAGGTTGCTGGGGTTTAGGTGGGGCAGTCTGAGGAGAATAGGGGCGTGGTGACACGAGACGCGTGGTGAAGTGGTTCAGTGCGATGAAGCCCAGCGCCCCTCGTAGCTCTTCTCTTTCCCGGTCGGTGAAGTGCGGTAGTGGGGATCCAGGGAGGCCCATCACCCTCGCCCTCTCCTCCAAGTATCTCCTCACCTCTGGAGGGTACATGCCACTCTTGCCCTCCCCCTCTCTGCCCCCTAGTAGTGGGTCTAGGAAACGACCCAGCTCAAACAACAGGAATCTCTGAGTGGCGGTTGCATGTGACTCCAGGAAGGGGTTGGCGGGTTCTGCCCAGTCTGCGTGCAGGGCCAGGGACACCAGTCCTCCCTGTTGGCTGAGATATTCCCTCTCATAGAGCCTCCAGACCTTAGCGTGGGCCAGGAGGAGGTTATGGGCTGCCAGATGCTGCTCCTCTCCGCTCTTGTAGGCATCCACCAGTCTGTTGGGCTCATTGATGGTGATCCAGTAGCTGACCCAGGGCCCCAGCTCCCTGTAGCAGAGGGCTGCATAGCTCTGGAAGGCCTCCACTGTGCTCCCGTTCAGCCAGCCTCCAGAGCCATGCAGTGGGCCAGGCAAGCCCAGCAGAGGGACTCTGTTAGTGGGGTAGTAGAGGGTGACCATGGCCTCCAGGCCCTGCTTGTGGAGCTCAGTGAGGAGACAGCGATAGTATCTGTTAAAAAGAGTTTGAAGTTATTTAAAATGCAAAGTGTGTTTGTATCCATACAGGCGTGCATTCTAGTGTATGTTTGCATGTGTGTTAAACATTTCAATATACACTATACAGTGTGTGTCTACCTCAGGGCCTCTGTGTCCACATTAGACAGATCTCCATGGGGCAGGATGAGGGACCAGTTGAGAGCGAAGCGGTAGTGAGATGCCCCTGTGGACTCAAAGATGCCCAGGTGACCTCGGATGGCCAGGTAGTCAGTGCACTGTGGCATCCTGGTGTGGAGCTTGACCCCTTGGACAGGACGCAGCGCCCCGTCCCCTGTCAGGTTCCAGCTGTACAGGTGGGGGTCCATGAATTGAGGGGAGTAGGGATGGAAATTTACCTTTAATAAAGGAGAACAAGAATATAAATGTTTGTGTTTATTTCTTACAAGGTGTGCAATGACCTAGCTTGCGTAATGTTCTGTTCGAGTTGGAGCGCAAGAAAAGCAGTTTTGCTAAATAAAATAATCTCCTCCCTCTTTATTTTCTCCTCCCGCTCTCGTCTCTGCATCCTCTCCTCCCCTTCTCATCACCTCACCTGTAGGGTGGAGGCGGCCACTCCCCAGTGGAAGTCACATGGGAAACGCCCTTTGACCTCTCTGGTGGTCTCATTACCAGGGAAACCGTTGTCCTTGACGACCTGCCTGTAGAACTGAGCGGTGGTCTTCGGGACCCTGGTTCTGTTGGCCTGGCTGAAGTCTACATAGAACAGACCTCGTCTCACACTGTAGCCATAGTTCCACTCAAAACCATCCACCAGAGACCAGGCTGTGTAGCCAAACACTCTGACACCGTCAAACACAATCGCTGGACACAAACAAACACAGAGAGAATGAGATGAGGAGACACAGTTACCACAGAGGTACAAATAGCACAACAGTGCAGAGGTTAAATGTATTAAAAGGGGTCAGTCTGTCAAATATGCTCTCTTGTTGACCTCCTCTGTTTTCTCTAGCCCTGCCCCCTCCTCGGACCCCTCCTCCCTCCTTACCTTGCAGCACCTGGTTAATTAACCTCTTCATCAGGTAGATAGCGACTGTATCCTCCCTCTCCACAGCTGCATCTGAGAACCAGCCCCCCTCTGCCACCAGCACTGGAAAGGTCCCCGTACTCCAGCCGCACCCAGCCCAGCACCCGCCTCAGATCTGGGAACACCATCTGCCCATAGTGGGCCAGGCTCCGGCCCAGACGCAGGTTGTTAGGCCCAAAGGACAGGGCAAAGAAGTCAGCCGTTCCCTGCACCCAGAGCTTCTCCTCTGGGGTGAACTCAGGCAGGAGCCCCCTATGAGTGGATCTCATGGAGGCTGGGTAGTCACCGTCCCTGAAGATGGGATTGGCGAACCAGCCAAGCACCGCCTCCATGGACTGCTGGCAGAGCTCGACATTGGCTGGTGTGGTTTGGCCTCTATGAGGCACCATCCAATGGGAACCCAGGACGAGGGACACCTGACCCTTCTGAGTCGGGCGGAAGTGGGTGTTATATGTGTGCCACGCTTTGGCATGCGCCTGTAAATGTGTAAATGAAATGGAGGTCAGTTATACATGCACTGCATTATGGCAGAGATATTGCACATACTACAGATATTGGACCTGTACAGTGTCCTAGTATGTGCTGGGACATAACTGATTATTAATGAAGCCTGATATCATCCTAACATCCTGCCATACTGCTGTGCTGTGGTGCCTGCCTGCCCACCCACAAAACTGCTGATGTCACAGACTTTAACCCCCAGTGTCTCCTTAAGTGTCCTGTTTACTATTCGCTGTAATAAACCTCTCATAGCAAACAGTAAACACACAAGGTCAATGACTGCTAATAGCTGCAGAAGGAGCACAGCTAATATTGAATATCACAACTTGAAACCTTTTGGATTAGTTTAACCTGATTGATTGAAGAAAGCACAGCATGTACTATGGCTATTAAAGCTTTATGTCTTCACACATTTTCTTTGCAATGTCTTGAACCCAATGAAAGACGCAAACATTCATTGACCACATCAGCTGATAAAACCCACAGAAGTTCAAAGACTAAAGTAAAGTTCAAAGTCTGACTAACACAGGGTCTCAGTTTCAATCTATCCAAAGGGTTCTAATTCACAACACAACCCCCTGTCCCCCCTCCCAAATGGGTACAGATAGTCGTTGCCATTTTACACAGAACTAGGAACAACTTTCCCTTCCAAAATCCTGACCATTCCCATTGGAAGGAAAACACAAAACTGACCTAAGATTTGCATCTAGGGGCAACTTCAGACTTCTTCTGACCCTTGACCCTGACTGACTCACCCTGATGAGGTTGTGGGCCACGATGAAGGGGGCGGTGGAGTCCCCTGTCTCTCCAGGCGCGTGCACTCCTGTCCCGTACCCCTGGACAGCCACCAGGTATGGGTTGTGCATGGTTATCCAGTACCTCACACGTCCCCCGTATGTCCGGAAACAGAAGGCAGCGTACACGTCAAACAACCCCACCAGGGTGTCATTCTTCCAGCCCCCGTAGTGCTCCTGCAGGACCTGGGGAAGGTCCCAGTGAAACAGGGTGACCACCGGCTCAATGCCTCTCTCTCTCAGCCTGTCGAGCAGTCTCCCATAGTGCTCCACAGCCACCATATTGGGCTGACTAGTGGCAACCCCGTCAGGGAAGAGTCGGGGCCAGGAGAGGGAGAAGGCGTAGGAGTGCATCCCGAGGTACCCCAGCGCCTCAACATCCTCCTCCCATTGGGTGTAGCTGTCACTGGCTGTGTCTGCGACACCTCCGACACCTCGGTGGGGTGCTGTGTGGGTGAAGTGGTCCCAGATTGAGGGGCCTTTCCCGTCCCGGTCCGAGGCCCCCTCAGTCTGGAAGGCGGAGGTCCCCGTGCCCCAGAGGAACCCTGGAGGGAAAGTCCCGTGGAGAAAGGACTGGCTCTGGTTGAAGGGCTCTGGGGTGGAGGGCTGCTGCCACTGCCTCCTGCCCTCCCCCAGGGAACAGAAAGCCCCATCCCAGACCATCGCTTCCAGGAGGAGGGAGAGAAGGTATGTTACCATATTGCAGCCCAAGTAAGAAGAATGATCCTCTCCAGAGATTTCCAAAATCCTTTAAGAGAAAGATAATCCTTTAAGAAAAGCTGGTCTCAGTCTGAGTTCCTGTGTGAGTATCAGGGGTCCGGATGTGAAGAAGGTGAGGGATCCATGATTGAAGAATAGAAGATGAAGGGATTGAAGCGAACGAGTGTAGGAGACTGAGACGTCAACGTGGAGCCTAGGAGAGGAGCGGTACACTATCCATCTGAACGACTAACCTGATTGGACTTACCTATCTCTCTCTCTACCTCCCTCTCTCTCTCCTTTACTCTCTCCTCCTCCCTCTCTCTGACACATAACGTATGTTGTACATACACAACAACACTCACCAAAACTGGCTCATACACTCAGGAACACACATGCAGGCACACACACATTTTGTCAATGATTAGCTTGAACTCTGATCCTCACCTCCACTACTGATGCTCCCATTTACTCTCCCTCTCTCTCTCTCTCACTCTCTCTTTCGCTCTCTCTCTCTCTTTCAATCTCACCATCTCTATCTCACAATCACTTTCTCCTGCTAAATCTTCTACTCTCTCTATCTCTTTACACTAACATGTTTTTTCATTGATATTACTGTAATATTGGAATCGTTACAACCTAATGAATATAAGGAAAATATTGGCATGTTCTTGCAGCTATTCAAACCCTAATGACCTGTTTGAGAAATAGCCTAAATAAGGTTGAGTTAAAGCCAGTCACCACACCCTAATAGGCGATTTTCCCCCTCTTAATCATATCACAATCAACTTTTACCAGTTGAATGTAGATACAAATATAATCTTTTTTTGTATTAACATTTTTCTAAACGATTGTATTAAAATATTTAAATGAGGTGATATGTCATTAAATATGCACATATTTGCATATCGTTCAAATCCATTTTTCAGGGCATCGGATTAAGTCAGTCTAAATATTTTGATTTCATTTTGTTAAGACACTCCAGGACCGGACTTACTCAGAGCAGATTGTGGATAAATACTTTTTTCTCATCTTTCTATCTGTAAAATACTAAAGACATGTACCTAAAATGCATTTTTGGCAAATTTTTCTTAAGAAAATGCTATCTAGAATAAAACATTTACAACATATCAACAATTCACTCTGGGCAAGTCTCGAGAATATATCTAAGGATTACCACACAACATTCGGTGAATATAGATGCTTCTGAAGCTGAGGAAAATTAGTTGGCATGTGGGAAGATTGACTTTCGGGAAATGGCAGTTAAAGACAAGTACACTGAATTTAGACTACCAAACACCAAACCCCTGTTTAGACCCAATCACCATGTCTTCAAAGTTACTACATTTAGTCCAGTTTGTTACGTTCTCTATGAAATGGGCTTTTAAATAATGTGTAATTCAATATAGAAGAGTTTTGAAAATATGGATGCATGTCCATTTTAAAGTGGTTACATTTCATGAAATTCTTATAACAGTAGTATGATATACTAAAGAAAATATACATTTTCATCAAGACTTTTACATTTTTATGTTTGCTTTTTGAAAAAACTAAAATACCAACAAATCTCAAAATGGATAGGTAAATGCAAAAATGTAATTTCAGCCTGTGGTGCCTGGCATTAAGGTTTTAGCTGAATCTACTTTAGGAGATGGTCCTGGCGCTTGCTGGACTTTCTTGGGCGCCCTGAAGTCTTCTTCACAACAATTGAACTTCTCTCCTTGAAGTTCTTGATGATCCGATAAATGGTTGATTTAGGTGCAATCTTACTAGCAGCAATATCCTTGCCTGTGAAGCCCTTTTTGTGCAAAGCAATGATGACGGCACCTGTTCCCTTGCAGGTAACCATGGTTAACAGAGGAAGAACAATGATTTCAAGCACCACCCTCCTTTTAAAGCTTCCAGTCTGTTATTCTAACTCAATCAGCATGACAGAGTGATCTCCAGCCTTGTCCTCGTCAACACTCTCACCTGTGTTAACGAGAGAATCACTGACATAATGGCAGCTGGTCCTTTTGTGTCAGGGCTGAAAAGCAGTGGAAATGTATTTTGGGGATTAAGTTCATTTTCATGGCAAAAAGGGACTTTGCAATTAATTGCAATTCATCTGATCACTCTTCATGACATTCTGGAGTATATGCCAATAGCCATAATCAAAACTGAGGCAGCAGACTTTGTGAAAATTAGTATTTGTGTCATTCTCAAAACTTTTGACCACGACTGTACTATGTAATATGTATATTTATATTTTTACTGCAACTGCCAACCACAGGAGGATTCAGGAGCCCGCTCTCAAAGAGTGTAGACAGCCTGCTGCTGCCTGCTGCCGCTCTGATAATTATCAGATGGGGGGGAGGAGAGGAGATAGGGGCACACCTGGGTAACTGGGGGGCCCTGCCCTGATTGGGTAACTGATTAATAAAAAATATTAAAAATAAACTGCATGAATGTGACTGGTCAATTGTGTGAGTCAGGGGCTGGGCCCAAGCCAATATGGTGCTCAAGAGGCAAAAAAATTAATACAATTCTATACGTTTATTTTTATTTTTATCGAACCACAGGAGCCCGCTCTCAATGTTCAAAATACCCCAGAGAGCATAATTTGGCCACAGAGGATCAATAGTTTCAACAACAACAAAAAAACGTGGATTAAATTTGATCACAAGCACATACAGGTAACTGCCGAAATAAAAGAAACACCAACATAGTTTCTTAAAAGAGTGTTTGGCCACCACAAGCTGCCAGAACAGCTTCAATGCGCCTTGGCATAGATTCTACAAGTGGACCTAAACCATGTCAGGAAAATGCACCCCACACCATAACATATCATTTGTATCCCTCATTTACTCAAGTGCCTACAGTTGGGAAGGCCACAATTTGGCCAGCATGCGAGCCAAATATACAGCTCGTTGTGTCGTGGCCATAGACATATAATCCATAGAAGGGTTTTGGAACCTCTTACCCTGGCAATTTGACTATTAAACTCATGGGTACACTAGCAATGGCTGCCAGTCCTGATTTGAATGGGAACGGCCATCTATGGATTATATTTCTATAGGTTGGTTGCAGCTGTCTGTTTGCCTTTTGCAAATGTCAAAATCAGGGGCGGTGTGTTCATTAGGGCGATATGGGCGACGCACTGCCAAACGGGAAAAGGAAGGGATTTTTTTTCTAATCAATTATATCACGGCAACAGTAGTTTTCAGTGTTCTAATCTAGACGTCTGATCTGCCACTAAATGTCCAATCAGGCTAAAGTCGTGCTTCAAATGGCCCCGCCCGTTTTGGGGCGATTTCAGTCAGGTTGAAAATCGCCCCAGAAGTCTCTCAGACTCTCATGTAAAATCTTTTTTTTTTCAAATATCAGAGCTTTCAATACAATCTCTATGGGTTCCGGGAGGGCTTGCACTTACGCGCTTTCGTCATACGTAACATAACCATGAACATAACTAAGAAAAGAGCGGGTAGCAGCGTCAATCAATTCACGTACTACTGTCAAGATTGCTAGCGTTCAGTGCAACTCGATTGTCTCTTTGAAAGAAGTTCATTTTTGTCTGCGAACAAATCAAGATAAATTGGCAACGAAACAATTAGGACCTCCCAGACCAAATTTAATAATTCAACAGGTTTCTACTAAAGGGGGAAAGTCCTACACCCGAGGATTTTCCAAAAATTGGTACGAACGAAAAACCTGGCTAGCAGGCTGCGATGTAGCTAATGCAGTCTTCTGCTACCCCTGCTTACTCTTTCACCCTGAAGGCGGCACGGCAGACAGCACCGCTTGGACAGCGACTGGTGTAACGGACATGCACCATCTTTCAGAAAAGATTAAGAAACATGAGCTGTCAAAGACCCACATGGATAGCTGTTTGAGATTGTCTGCTTTGGGGAGAGTGAACATTGCCACTCAACTGGATGAGGGATACAGGCTAGCTGTCCGCCGCCACAACGATGAGGTTAGCAAGAACCGCCACATCCTCAGCCGGCTAATCCAGTGTGTGAAGTTTTGCGGAGTGTTTGAGTTAGCTTTGCGAGGCAAAGATGAAACTGAGGGCTCCACCAACCCTGGTATTTTTCTTGGACTTGTCAACTTTGTGGCACAATTAGATGAGGTGTTTGATGACCATCTTAAAAATGCTAAAGTTTTCAAGGGCACATCAAAGACCATTCAAAACGAGCTACTGGAGTGTATGCTAGCGGTCATGACGGAACATATTGTGGAGGAGGTGAAGTCGGCGAACTTCGTAGCTATCCGAGCTGACGAGACCACGGACGTTTCTACACAGACACAGCTGGTGCTTGTGCTGAGGTACATAGATAGCAAGAAGATTTAATTTTTTTCCTGGGGCTTTTTCACAAAATCATGCCCCACGTCGACATTCTGTACCAGAAGCTACAGAAGAAGGACATCGATGCTGTCTTCATCAAACGTGCCCTCGACAGCTTCACAAGCAGTGTGCAGGCCATAAGGTAAGATTAAACAATATCATTCGATCTTTCTCAAAGCAGAGCTTTATTTGAAAATGTATGCATGAAAGGAGACATCATCATATTTACAAATCTATACAATTGGCCAGAATATGGTTGTTCATTTTTACAAAGCCATTCAGATAGCTGTGTTTACCTTTTCTAGAAATTATTTTCAAATTCTGTTTTCAGGCAAAATGTCTATCACTGTTCATTTTCACAAATCTATACAAGAGGGCAGAATATGGAAGTCAATAAAATGTCTTATTACCAATAACTTGCATCAATGTTTTCAGTAGCCTCTATCAAAAGCTCCTGCTGGCCTTGTTGTGAATTATGCTCAGGTGCACATATGTCCAATTCCAACCATGAGGCCTTTTTGAAAGCAAGTAATGTGTTATCAGTATTGACTTATATGCTGCCCCTGTCTTCTGTTGTTTGCTGGACATATCTTTTTTAAATGTGTGTAGGTCACCTAAATCATCAGAAAAATTGCCCCCCCTGAGAATTTTTTCAGGAGCCGCCACTGGTCAAAATACAATTGCAGGAAAAACGTACCGTTTGGAAAGCAAATGCCTACTGCTGAAAAGAGAAGGCTAATCTGTCTGCTGAAAGGAGAAGATGAATCTGTCTGCTGAAAAGAGAAGACTAATCTGTTTGCTGAACCAATAGAAGAAAACAAATCTCAACAACTCCCAATTTTTTTTGTGAACAGCAACACTGTTTTTCAAAGTAGCTCATCTTGAGATAGGCTATTGCCAAGAGGAGCGCATCTGCCATCACCGTGAGTAGCCTATACATTTTTTCATTTACATTTTCGTCATTTAGCAGACACTCTTATCCAGAGCGATTTACAAATTGGTGCATTCACCTTATGATAGCCAGTGGGACAACCACTTTACAATATATATATATATATTTATTTTTTTTGCGAACAGTTTTGACTGGGCTGAGCGGGAACTGTGCTTACGCAGAGGTAGGGGGGCCAGCAGGCCAGAGGTGGATGAACGCAATACCCTCGTTTGGGTGTAGGGACTGATCAGAGCCTGAAGGTACGGAGGTGCCGTTCCCCTCACAGCTCTGTAGGCAAGCACCATGGTCTTGTAGCAGATGCGAGCTTCAACTGGAAGCCAGTGGAGTGTGCGGAGGAGGGGGGTGACGTGAGAGAACTTGGGAAGGTTGAACACCAGACGGGCTGCGGCATTCTGGATGAGATGTAGGGGTTTAATGGCACAGGCAGGGAGCCCAGCCAACAGCGAGTTGCAGTAATCCAGACGGAGATGACAAGTGCCTGGATTAGGACCTGTGCCGGTTCCTGTGTAAGGTAGGGTCGTACTCTGCGAATGTTGTAGAACCTACAGGATCGGGTCACCGCTTTGATGTTAGCAGAGAACGACAGGGTGTTGTCCATGGTCACGCCAAGGCTCTTCGCACTCTGGGAGGAGGACACAACGGAGTTGTCAACCGTGATGGCGAGATCATGGAACGGGCAGAGATCATGGAACGGGCAGTCCTTCCCCGGGAGGAAGAGCAGCTCCGTCTTCCCGAGGTTCAGCTTGAGGTGGTGATCCGTCATCCACATTGATATGTCTGCCAGACATGCAGAGATGCCATTCGCCACCTGGTTATCAGAAGGTGAGTCTGTGTGCCACTGGAAATTGTATTTAGTAGCCTACTGTAGCCTATAATATATACAGTACCAGTCAAAAGTTTGGACACGCCTACTCATTCAAGGGTTTTTCTTTATTTTTACTATTTTCTACATTGTAGAATAATAGTGAAGACATCAAAACTATGAAATAACACTTATGGAATCATGTAGTAACCAAAGAAGTGTTAAACAAATCAAAATATATTTTATATTTGAGATTCTTCAAAGTAGCTACCCTTTGCCTTGATGACAGCTTTGCACACTCTTGGCATTCTCTCAACCAGCTTCATGAGGTAGTCACCTGGAATGCATTTCAATTAGCAGGTGTGCCTTGTTAAAGTTAATTTGTGGAATGTATTTCCTTAATGCTTTTGAGCCAATCAGTTGTGTTGTGACAAGGTAGGGGTAGTATACAGAATATAGCCCTATTTGGTAAAAGACCAAGTCCATAATATGGCAAGAACAGCTAAAATAAGCAAAGAGAAACGACAGTCCATCATTAATTGAAGAAATGATGGTCAGTCAATCCGGAAAATGTCAAGAACGCAAAAACCATCAAGCGCTATGATGAAACTGGCTCTCATGAGGACCGCCACAGGAAAGGAAGACCATGAGTTACCTCTGCTGCAGAGGATAAGTTCATTAGAGTTACCAGCATCAGAAATCTGCAACTAACAGCACCTCAGATTGAAGCCCAAATAAATGCTTCACAGAGTTCAAGTAACAGACACATCTCAACATCAACTGTTCAGAGGAGACTGCGTGAATCAGACCTTCATGGTCAAATTGCTGTAAAGAAACCACCACTAAAGGGCACCAATAAGAAGAAAACACTTGCTTAGGCCAAGAAACATGAGCAATGGACATTAGACTGGTGGAAATCTGTCCTTTGGTCTGATGAGTCCAAATTTGAGATTTTTGGTTCCAACCACCATGTCTTTATGAGACGCAGAGTAGGTGAACAGATGATCTCCATATGTGTGGTTCCTACCGTGAAGCATGGAGGAGGAGGTATGATGGTGTGGGGGTGCTTTGCTGGTGACACTGATGGTGATTTATTTAGAATTCAAGGCACACTTAACCAGCATGGCTACCACAGCATTCTGCAGCGATACGCCATCTCATCTGGTTTGAGCTTAGTGGGACTATCATTCGTTTTTCAACAGGATAATGACCCAAAACACACCTCCAGGCTGTGTAAGGGCTATTTGACCAAGAAGGAGAGTGATGGAGTGCTGCATCAGATGACCTGGCCTCCACAATCACCCGACCTCAACCCAATTGAGATGGTTTGGGATGAGTTGGACCGCAGAGTGAAGGAAAAGCAGCCAACAGGTGCTCAGCATATGTGGGGACTCCTTCAAGACTGTTGGAAAAGCATTCCAGGTGACTACCTCATTAAGCTGGTTGAGAGAATGTCAAGAGTGTGCAAAGCTGTCATCGAGGCAAAGGGTGGCTACTTTGAAGAATCTCAAATATAAAATATATTTTGATTTGTTTAACACTTTTTTGGTTACTACATGATTCCATATGTGTTATTTCATAGTTTTGATGTCTTCACTATTATACTACAATGTAGAAAATAGTAAAAATAAAGAAAAATCCCTTGAATGAGTAGGTGTGTCCAAACTTTTGACTGGTACTGTATATACTGAACAAAAATATAAACGCAACATGTAAAGTGTTGGTCCCATGTTTAATGAGCTGAAATAAAAGATCCCAGAAATGTTCCATATGCACAAAAAGCTTATTTATCTCAAATGTTGTGCACAAATTTGTTTACATCCCTGTTAGTGAGCATTTCTCCTATACCAAGGTAATCCATCCACCTGACAGGTGTGGCATATCAAGAAGCTGATTAAACAGCATAATCACTACACAGGTGCACCTTGTGCTGGGGACAATAAAAGGCCACTCTAAAATGTGCAGTTTTGTCACACAACATTAATGCCAAAGATGTCTCAAGTTTTGAGGGAGCGTGCAATTGACATGCTGACTGCAGGAATGTCGACTAGAGCTGTTACCAGATAATTTAATGTTAATTTCTCTACCATAAGCTGCCTCCAACGTCATTTTAGAGAATTTGGCAATATGTCCAATTGGCGTCACAACCGCAGACCACTTGTACCCAAGCCAGCCCAGGACCTCCACATCCTGCTTCTTCAACTGCGGGATCACCTGAGACCAGCCACCCAGACAGCTGATGAAACTGAGGAGTATTTATGTCTGTAATAAAGCCCTTTTGTGGGGAAAAACTAATTCTGATTGGCTGGGCCTGGCTCCCCAGTGGGTGGGCCTGGCTCCCAAGTGGGTGGGCCTATGGCTGCGCCCCTGCCCAGTCATGTGAAATCCATAGATTAGGGCCTAAGAATTCATATCAATTGACTGATTTCCTTATATGAACTTTAACTCAGTAAAATTGTTGAAATTGTTGTTTATATTTTTGTTCAGTATTTATATTGCCTCCTAATATTGTACATATTGTACATATGCCTCCTATATCTGTGTGTCGCTTCAATGGCCTTGGCAGTTGTTTGTTTGAATTCAAGACCAGATTGATCTCAGAGTGGCTGCTCAATGTGGTCATTTGTGTGGTATTAAAAAAGATTCAGCTGTCTTTTATCATGTAAATGAGGTAGAATTTAATGAAATGCGTTTTTAATTTTGTTGATTTTATTTGACCCTACTAACAAATGTTCCCCATGTGTGAAAATCCTAAAAACGCCTCTGCTCAACTGTAGCCTATGGCACATGGCAAACGTTATTATGGCTTTATTATAAAGGGGATTTTTTCTTCAACAGTAAATTTACCACGCATCGAATTGCAGCTTGGTGCACAGATTTGTTTACAGAAAATGGTGTGCCGGTGGGGTTATTAAAAAATCAAAGCCCCGCGGCCTGTGATTTCTTAATCTGGCTCTGATCTAAGGAAATACAAATAAAACAGAAGCAACTACATCTACCAAATCCTTTATGTTTTTGTTTGTGTATCTTGGAAGATGCCAGCTGGTGTAAAGTGGCCATCATGGCCAAACAACACCTTATCATGAAATTTGCCACAGACATTATTAGGTTATGTCAATTTAGCTGGAAAACTGATATTCTCCACCTCTAAACGACCTGACATCAGCAGTGATACAGTACAAATGTAGGCCTACCCCTGCCCCAGCGTCTGTGAGTCGACGAGGAGTATGACATGGCTCCTCTCTAACGCCCAGGAAGCTCCGATTCAAACTCCCATTAGACAGCTCTGCAAGCGTTATGTCAAAATACATTTGTTAGTCATTTACTCCTAGACCTACCGGTAAGCCTATGTACTTCCAAAAAAGGTCTAGATAAAAATGTACAAGCAACCGAAAAATGCCTCTTCGGCACCACCAATGTATTGAGTTGTTGTAGACTTCTGAGCTGTTTGTGGCGCAGGTGCCAAATAGGATAAAACATTTTTGGGTTGCTTGTAAATGTAGACCTGTTTTGGAAGTACACACCGGCCATAACTGGAGTAAATGAAGATAGTTGCTCAGCGAAACTCCATATTTGGTGAGTAAGAACGTTTTTTGACATTATTTACACTTGTAGAGCTGTCTGGTGGGAGTTTGAATCGGAGCTTCCTGGGCGTTAAAGAGGAGACATGTCATACATATCTTCGACATCTCTGCACAGATACTGGGACAGCCTACCCCCAAAAAGCACTGCACTGTGTTGTACCTTTGAGTTGCCTGGACTGAGAAGGGTGCAATTGCGGCCCACAATTCGAGTGTCCTGAATGTGGACATTCCTGCATCTGCAGGAACCCCAATTTTTAAGTTAGGGGAGGCGGTGGCTCTCCAGTACAGTGGGTTGCGTTAATGCACAATAACGTTAGATGCCAGCCGCCGATAAGCCCGACAGAAGAATGGGCAGGCGAGACAATCATAGCTATCAGCCGTAAACCGGTAGACAGTGTCCTTCGCAGTGTTGCCAACTCCTCAGTAAGGAAAGTAGCTATTGGCTGTCCTAAAAGTCGCTAGAAGTTGCTAAATGATGTCATCACCTAATTTGCATAATTGGCCATGTGCATGTAATTGTGATGGACGCTGTAGGAGAGAGGAATAACGTTGTGGGAGAGACAAAAAGTGAGTAAAAAACACCCTACATTTACATCCCGCCCTGAATGTAAGCCAGGGCGGGATCAGCCAGCGGCGGCTTCCCGCATGCATGATGCATTTGCAGTCTGGACGCGGAGGGGTGAACATCTCCTGCTCTGACTGCTGCTGGGAGGGATTTCTGCGCGAGGACTATGCCACCTGTGAGTGCTTTGGGACAGGGGTGGGGCCCACGGCAGCACCCGCTGCTTGTTGAGAAGAGTAAGAACGATATGTGCTTTCACATCAGTCTCCAATAACACCAGAAAAAGTCGCTAGATTTGTCGCTAGTCGCTTTTTTGAAAATGTGTCGCTAGAGAGGTCTGAAAACTCCCTAAATATAGTGACAAAGTCGCTAAATTGGCAACACTGGTCCATCGCCCCTGCATGTCGGGCTGCGTTCATGCAGGAACCAATGGGGTGTACGAGGAGGGGTGGGTGTTCATGAAGGAACCAATGGGATGCTCAAGGGGAACACCCTGAATTGCAGGAACGCCCTGAATTGCGGGCTGCAGTTGCACACTATTGCCTGGACTGGGATAAAATAATTTGGGGAGGATATCAAACGGGAGATCAGTGATGATATATGGTGAGTAGGGGAAGTTAGGCCGAAGCAATCAATTCCCATTGACGACTTTACAACAGCTGAACGTGTGATGAAAATATATATATGGCGGACTCCCTCAGAGGCGCATATGCATTAATGAACAGTCTCTCGGAGGTGTATATTAATGTCCATGCTTCAAAGGCAGTGTACCAGTGAACGCTGCCATGAGAACAGCACACTATGGATGGGTTGGTTGTTTAGCAAAAAAACCAAGGCATGCACAACTATAGGGCAAAACAAATGGGGTTGGCTTAGATTGTTAACAACATGGAAACTATATTTCGTCTCCAATGTTTATTGAAAACATAAACACATTTGCACTTGCACATAAGAGCTTGTTGTCTCACAAATACATTGTTACAGTTGTTGGTTGGCTGATGAGAGTGGTGGTTGTCCCACTGGCTATCATAAGGTGAATGCACCAATTTTAAAGTCGCTCTGGATAAGAGCGTCTGCTAAATGACGTAAATGTAATGTAAATGTAAGCATTGACATGAAATCAGTCAAAACAATTCAAAACAAGACATGGTGTCAAGACCAAAATGAAACTAGCTGAAACTAGTCACTTATGATTACCCACATGGACATTTCTTGTCATTGTTGGTAGCTATCTGGCCATCCAGAATTAAACAACTCAGTTCTGCCACATTGAGCGTGGGCGTCGTTTTCGTGAGTCGTCAGCTAACATCTATAAAGTGTGCACCGGGGCCGGGCAGAGTGAAGTGGGAGTGTTTAAAAGCGCACTGAACTTGGCATGAGGTCGCACATTCCTTGCCCTATCATTGTAGACGCGTAATTGGCGGCTGTTATAAGATCGAACCTTGTCCCTGTCAGCGAACACGTTGATCTAGGGGTATTTTTATTTTACCTTTATTTAACTAGGCAAGTCAGTTAAGAACAAATTCTTATTTACAATGACGGCCTACACCGGCCAAACCCGGACGACGCTAGGCTAATTGTGCGCCGCCCTATGGGACTCCCAATCACGGCCGGTTGTGATACAGCCTGGAATCGAATAAGGGGGTCTGTATAACGCCTCAAGCACTGAGATGCAGTGCCTTAGACCACTGCGCCACTCGGGAGCCCGAGTATGACTTTAGCTTTGGGTGCGAGAGGTCCCGGGTTCAAATCCCAGACTAGCCCACCTTCCAAAACATTTGGGTTTTGAAGTCTGAACTGAAGAGCAAGTATTAGAACATGTAATCAATGTATTTTGTCGTTATATCCTACATATTTGTAAAAAAAAAAAAAAAGTTTTCTCTTGATTTGTTTTTTTTAACAATAAAAGTAAATAAGTGAAATTTGTTAACATCTCCTATTTAATATCTTTATTATAAAGCCATACATTGAGTAATATTTTATACAAATCCACAGATGTGGCAAAATCTCAACTTCATTGCCTGTCAAGCACGTCTATCTCTGCCCATCACTGTAAATTAAAGGGAAGAAATTAGACAGATGTGTGTAAAGGAGGAACATGTTTCCTGCACATTTGAATGGCCAGGTTTCAAGTGTCTGCTTCCCCTCTGCTCAACATTTACTGTATGCTCAGAGAGGAAGTGTTAAGAGTGAGACTGATAGGGTAATAGTATGAGTGTGAAAGAGACACAATAGCAAAGGCAGAGAAAAGAGAGATTAAGATGAAAGGAGTGAGAGAGACGGACTGACTGAACATCATTTCAACAAAAAACACTGCTTGAAAAGACACTGAAAAGGACAGGTCAGTCTTTCCTTTTCCCCCTCTTTCTGTGTGTGTGTACCCCAAGTACTGTACTATAGACCAAAAAAGCTGGAGTCTATAAAAAAAAACAAGGATGCTCTTTTTTTGAATACCCTATGGACGCTGCATAACATTCATATTTAAAAGAGGAAACCAAAACCTTTATTCACATTCTGATGCAAGCTATTCCATGTTGTGATTCACAAACACACTGTGTACTGAACCTATTTTACACAACCATTGCTTATTTCATTTTCTCTCCCTCTTCCGCTTGTTCCTCTCCAGAGATGAGGGATGTGGCCGTCACCCTCTGGGCAGTGGCTGTGTTAGTGGGAGTCCATCGCTGCACCCCCTCCTCCTCAGAAATACACACCACCATTGTCAACCTCTCATCCTTCCCCAGAAACCTACCGCCATCCACCTAAGCCCTGGACCTCATCCAGAACAACATCCACAAACTCCGCCATGAGAATTTCCAAGTGACCACTCACCTGAGGTGACTCAACCGGTCTTGGAATGTCTTGGAGGAGATAGATCCGGAGACATTCCATCCAACTCCGCTCCTGGAGAGTCTGGACCTCTCATACAACCGTCTCCAGAACTTCTCTGATCAACGGTACTTGCTGTTCATGCAGAACCTCAGTTCTAGATCTGACCTTTAACCTGTTCCACACCATGACCCTGGGGGCAGAGTTGTGCAGCCTGGGAAAGTTAGAGAGACTGGGGCTCGGAGCAATCATCATCACGGTGGAGGATTTCATCAACAACACTGACGAAACCTGCAAACTTTGACCGTTCGTCTGGAGAACCTCACAGCCTATGAAGGTGGCAGCCTGGGTGACATCCAGGCAGAGAAGGTCTGCATCGGCCTGACGAACAAACCCACCGACCGAGATCTGATCGCAGACGTTCTGTTGATGTTCGACGAGGTCGAGCTGATGGGTATGAACCTGAAGGGTGACCACAGTTACCTGGTGGAACTCGTGAAGGAGAGAGGGGCGGTCAACACCTCACATCTTTACCTAACCGATATGGTCATCACCTGGGAGCACTTGACCAATACCATAAACGCTGTGTTCCAATCCCCCATCGCCCACCTGAACACTTCAGACGTGGCCATCCACATCCCATCTTTCAGTGACACCCCAGGAAGAGACACGTCCGAGCGGGGGTGGTTACCTTTTTCTTCTCCCTAGAAGCCCTCTGTAACTTCTTCATCAACATACCCGTGGAGCGCCTGGCGATGACTGAGACGTCCATCATACACATGACCTGCCCCAAGTTGCCCAGCGGGATACTGCAGCTAGACTTCTCAGACTGCGCCCTGACTGATACGGTCTTCTCCAGAGTAGAACGGCAAGTCACTGTGGAGTGTACAACCCTGAATAAAGTGGACATCCTGGTTCTGAGAGGGAACAACCTCAAGAACCTTCAAACCCTGAGCAAGTGTTCAGCACATGAGCTCTCCGCGTCACCTGGACCTCAGCCTCAACACGTTGGTTTACCGCGGAGAGGAATGCAACTGGCTGTCCACCTGAACCTATCCTCCAATGGGCTGAGCGAGTCGGTATTCAGCTACCTGCCGAACAGCACCGCCACCCTGGACCTCCAGAACAACCAGATCTCCACTGTACCAGAGGCCCTGCTGGCCCTGGATTCCCTCCTCGCTCTGGACCTGAGTGCCAACCGGCTGAGGAACCGCTCTGTGTGTGCTAGATTCCCACACCTTAAGTATCGCCTGCTCAGGGAGAACTCCCTCCATGCTCCATCTGTGAGCAGTCTGGGGACCTGCCCTGTTCTACGGGTTCTAGACGCCAGAAGAAACCCCTTCACCTGTACCCTGAGAGGCTTCAGGGATCTGGGTACTTCTGGGAATGGGCTTGGTGGCGGACACCCAGGAATCCAACTTCTCCACTGGCCACGAGCGTACCACTGCAGCTACCCCGAAGCCTGAGGAACTCCACACTAGAGGGCTTCCTGATCCGTGAGATATCCTGCAACGCTGGCCTACTGGCAACGGCCATCTTGTGCCCAGTGATGGCCGTTATCATTCTTATGGCGACTCTGTGCCAACACCTGGACGTTCCGTGGTACCTGGACATGATCTGGCAGTGGACCCAGGCCAAGCACCGTTCCAGGACCCAGCAGGTCCGGCCCCAGGACCTGGAGGGGGTGTTGTTCCACGCCTTTGTGTCCTACAGCCAGCATGATGCAGACTGGGTCAAGGGCCAGCTCTTGCCTAACCTGGAGGGCTCGGGCAGGGGGCTCCACATCTGCCGCCACGAGAGGGACTTCGTCACGGGGAAGACGATTGTGGAGAACATCATCCGATGCGCGGAGAGGAGACGGCGCTGTGTTTATCCTCTCTGGCCACTTCGTCTGGAGCAAGTGGTGTCACTACGAGCTGTACTTTGCCAGCCACCAGCGGCTGTCCTGTGGGTCTGACAGTGTGATCCTGGTGCTACTGGAGCCTCTGCCTCAGTACATGATCCCTTCCAAGTACTACCAGCTGAAGGCTATGATGGGCAGGCACACCTACCTGGAGTGGCCCCAGGACAAGCACTGGGCCAACCTCAAGGCTGCACTGCAGTGGTGGAGAAATCAAGAAAGAACTGTTGTTTCCAACCAGTCAGGTTTATTGGAGAATTTATATAAACTAACATCTATTTTACTACAGCTTTATGAAAAAGAAAAACAATAAAACGTTGTCTAACAATATCAAGCTCACATTTGTCAACTTTCCAACAATCTCACAATGATTTGGAACCTCTTATTTTTTTCCATACACTTCACAAAATGATCCAATTAGGCAAAGTCAACTAAATGTATCAAGATAGCCAATGAAAGACACTAGATAGCAAATACAACAGACACACTAGTCATGACCAATACCTGTTTAGTATCCTCAGAAACAGTATGCTCCCCAAGTACAGAACCTTCTCTGAAAGTACATCCTCTGAAAGTACCCATCTAATTTTAAGGCAAGAAGTACAAAAAGTGCCCAATATTTTACCCTCATGAAAATAGCACCATAAATAAATCCTTGAAAGAGAAAAACAAAGAATCTGCCTCTTTCTAATTATGTGTGTTATTTGGTCAGGGGTCAGGAGTTCAATTGTCAGGTCTGATGGAAGACGACGATGGTCTTCTGGGCACACAAGCTGCAAGGAGGAGTGACCAGGCTTTTATTGTGGACATTAGACCCATAAGCCTGGGCTCCTGGTCTCAACAGGTTCAAATGTCAGATGTCCGAGGTTTAAAGGTGAAGGGGTCAGAGGTTAGGTGTCAGATCAGGGCAGGGACTGGATGATGATGATCTTCTCATTGACACAGAAGCGGTGGAGGACAGTGTACAGGTTCTCCCCGCAGCGTGACACCTGTCTCTCCATAGCCAGACGGAAGTCCTCCTTCACCCCCTTTGTGATGCCACGCGTCACCGTGTGGTGCCTACAGGGCAGAGGAAGCCAGACAATGAGAAATAAACCATTTCTAAAATGTTCTTAGAAAAACACGTTAATCATTTTATAAATCAGACACTTGATAATGTTTCTTTTTCTCCAAACCTCTACAGTAACAGTTGAAAACACCAATTTATCAACGATAAAACATAAAATGACACAACATCAAGGAAACAACATGTTTCCCCAAATACAGTATTCATAGTTTTGAGATGGAATGAGAGTATTGGGTATCTACCAACCAGGCAAAATTTAGACGGGGAAGATTCAACAACATCAAAAACAGTAACACATAGTCAAACGTGAATGTTCACAAATGCAATGACAACTACAGATATGAAAAATAAAACCAAAATTGACTTTAAAAACATCAGTAACCACCACATAAACGGATGCAATGGGTCAAACGCCTTCTCGAAAATAAAACACGACAAGGACTCGATGAAAACGACAGACCGAAAACCAAAATGAGGTTTGGGGCAGAGGGATGGAGAGAGTGTTTGGGGTAGGGGTGGTGGGCAGGGGTACCTGTCGGTTGTCTGCACCCCAGGTAGCAGCAGGGTGTTAAACTCCCCACCCAGGGCGGGACTAGGGTTCCTGAGGACAGTAAACACCAACATTCATCAACTCACGCTCCGGGTTAAAAGTTGCCCTTACGCACAAATCTAGGATCAGCTTACCCTCTAAAAATCTTTACATTTAACATTAAGAGGAAGCATGAAACTGATCATAGATCAGTGTCTAGAGGCAACCTCATTCTACTCCTCAACTCCCACTGAGAGTGGTTGCATTCAAACACCCTAAACAACTTTCGATTAATAACGGTTTTTCGATTTTAGATAGACGGCGCTTTGTACCGCTAACCCTTTCTCAACATAACACCTGACAGCTCAGCTGCTATTCACTACATGTATGTGAGCATGACTGTGTACGATACGTAAGCATCTGCCAGTGGGAGGGGCTTACTTGATTAGCATTCCCTGATTGGGCAGTAGTTCCAGCTGGACCCGCCCCCCCGCCGTAGTACGCAGGTATGCAAACTCCTCTAGCATATCAATATCTGACCGAGTTAAAGTCAAACAACATAGAGAGAATAAAAGCTACAAAGTTTCTGTAATCCCCAGTTGTTCTCATATCTGCTCAACCAACTCATTTTAGATATAAAACATCCTACATATCAGCTATACTGTATGATAAGGATACTGGTGACGTAGTTGAAGAAGTTCTCATACTGGAAGCTGCCCTGCTGACAGATCTTATCGATGGCTTTCAGGAACAGAGACTCGCCCTGTGGCCAATCGTGTTGCAGGAGCACCACCACATGACCCAAGGACAGGTCGTCTCGGCTGTCCGTGAAGGCACGAAGCTGATTGGATGAAAATGAAAATAGAAGGTTATTTGAGATTAAGGGGAATTAAAACCCGCAGACCCTTATCAAAATAGTTCTGTGTTTAGTGTTATTTGTAAGGGCAGTGTTGAGGTACCTTGAAACAGGCGAACATCAGCTGAAGACAGAATGGCAGAATGGCTTTACTAGTACAGGGCAGCAGCCTCAGATCACTGCCTAGCAACAAAAATACAAAATACACCACATTGTAAGCATGGACATAAAACATAGACATTTGAAGATATCTCACACACAGTGAACCTTACCTTTCCTGGGCTTGTTTCTGGCTTTGCCCGAGTCGTCAGTGTTCTTAACTGGATCCTGGTTTTGGGGGACCAGCCCACCAACTACATCAAGTAACTTTTCACACGCCATCTGATACAGATGGAAACACAGAAACACAGTGACGCCATCTCTCTCTGTATGTATGCATGTTTCTGGATGAGCTCTCAGTATGTGCATACCCACCCTGTACTCTCCCAGTGCGTAGTGGCAGGAGGCCTGCTGTATAAGGGTCCTATGGTGCTCCAGGTTACCCTGTCCTGGGGAGCTCTGTCCAGGCTGAGGCTGCTGAAACACAGACATCTGGAGTAGGCTGGACAGGGCCTTACGGTAATGGCCCTGGGGGAGAGGAGACACACACTCACATTGAACACAAATACATGGACATACACAGACAAACAAAACACTGATAAACTCCTAACGAACAATGATCATTATTTATGTTTACCTGGTATATGATCATATCTGTGAGGAATATTCTGAACCAAAGCCAGTTGTCTGTCTTCCATGAGGAACAGATCTGGTTGAATTCTGGAGAATGGGTGTGAAAACATTTAATCAGAATGAGAAACATTTGCTTAGACAGGACACAAATTTAGAGAGCACACAGGTATGAGCTGGGGGATGTATTAGGAGGGCGTACCGGTCTCCAGGCTGTCGTGGGACAGGAGGTCCCAGCTCTCCCTGGCCAAACGGAAGCTCTCCAGAGTCTCTGCCCACCCGGGCATCTCTGTTTTGTTGACCATGATGTTCCGGCCACGCCCCTTCCCCAGGCCCTCATCGTCGTCTGAGCTCTGAAGAAACACGCCCAAATACATGCATGAGCACATACACACACACACACACACACACACCCTCCACAATGGCTTCCCATCTATCCTCTCACCATGGTCTTCTCGCGACCATCGGCCAGTTTGCGTTTCTTGTGAGCGTGTTTCCCTGCTCCTCTCTCCAGTTCTACCTCACTGTACACTGAGCTCAGATCCTCCAGCAGTATCCACGACCCCGAGGCCAACGCATTCACACCTGTAACACACACACACACACACAGAAATGAATACACAGACGCGACACACACAACCTCACTGTAAATTGAGGAGAGCGCCTCAAACAGAATCTCCACAAGAACAACGCTCAAAATGGACATATTTACAGTCATGTGAATACAAATACTTATGAACACACACAGGGGGAGAGACTGACCCTGAAACAGAGCAGGCTGTACAGCTGAGACGTAGAGGTAGGCGCTGCGGAAGAGGACCAGCGAGGCACAGATGACCACCTGACTGCAGCACCGTGACCTGGTCTCTCCCTCTAGACTGGGCAGGTAGCGACACAGCTCCTTAATCCACTGCAGCATCTCCACGTAGCCCCTACAAAACACACACACATACACAGTGATGAACATACACACTTTAATACCCAGCAGTATCCTACAAAACACACACATGCATAGAATACGTATAGGCTAACCACTCACAAGTAAACACACACACACTCTTACTTCAATTACACGCACATATTGGGAGATCATCTGTGCTCCTACCTCTGTCCCTTGTCCCCCTGCCACTCGCAACGGGCCCCCACCACTGCCAGGATGTCCAGCAGTCTCTCCCAGGGCTCAGCCACCACCGACGACTTCTCTGACAGCCCCTCAATCACATAGCGCTGGGACCCCCGAGACACACTGGGAGACTTCAGACCACCACCCTCCTGAGAGCCTGAGAGAAGGTGAGTACAGAGCAATGTCATTGGACCGTGAAACACTTGGAAATGGAAAGTGTAAGCAAAAGTGCAACAAAAAAAAGAGGGAGAAATTGAGGGTAAACCAAAAATCATAAAACTAGCTGATGGCATGCAGGTCGTAGCAGTGTGGAGGTGGCACGCAATGAGAAGGAAAGGAGATCAAGTGCAGATATTATAAATAGTACTCATCTACCGTTTAGGGCTTTGCCCTGCAACTGTCCGTCACCCGACGGGCCCCGCGTGACATAACCGATGTAGAACTCTGCTGCCTTCAGCATGTACTTCAGCAGCAGACTGGCAGGCATACGCATGTCCACGTTGTTTATGATCAACGGGAGAACGTCACACACTGTGAGAGAGGAAGAAAAGTAACATAGAAGGTATTTATACTTACTTTACATTCCTCTGCTTTTGAGCTCCAAATGTTCTAGGTTTTGATAATCTGATTCAGATATTTCTCTCACCAAACAGCTTCCTGAAACAGTTGACAGGTGTCTCCAACTTTTCAGCCGTCTCCGCCTCCAATAGGGACTCTCCCAGGTTGACCTAGAATGCGAGTGCAAACAATGCTACAGATAAATGATTCTGTGTTATTGACACGGTGGTGAAGGTCAGAGGTGAGAGGTTACGTACCCCGTGTTGGACTACAGACTCTGGGAAGCGCCTGAGCAGTAACAGGAGCATCTCAGCCTTCTCCAGGGTGTTGAAGCACTGTTCTGTGGCCTTCAGCAGCACCTCACACTGCACTGGGCCGGGCAGGGTTTCAAACAGACCTACAGTAAACACACACACACAATACAGTGTTAACACTTCTCACATTTCACCCAATCAGGGAAGATCTCAGGTAGATCTAACACACGCACACAAAGTCCTCACCTCGTAGGAACTGAGCCTGTTTGTCCTGACAGTCGCTCCGCAGGGCAGCTGTGATGACAGTGATCTCCCGCCACACAACAGGCTGATCAGGGAAATTGATGAACCTGAAGGACCCAGCACACACAACAGCAGTTAGATCAGTCATCAACAGTACTGTGTGCCTGTGTGCAGAAATAGAGAGATAAGAAATTTCACTCACATGTCGTATAGCATTCTGCCCGCTGAAGCCGTCTTCTCTGCATTTCTCTCAATAGTGTACATCTCATGCTGTTAAGACAAGATACCAATGTGACGTTCCATTCCAGCCTTCGTACCACAAAGCCAATGACCAGACCTCGACAGACTAGTTTGACAACTACATGTATTCCAAATGGCTCGTTAGTAGTATTTATTTGTCAAGCTAGCCAACTGCTAGCGTTTCAATGTCATTCACTAGACGCAGCTTACCTGAATATTGAAGTCCGTGGGATATAGGGTTCGAGCGGTTATCAGCCAAGCCTTGGCTGCACACGGGTCCTCGGACACAAGATCCCGAGCCCGTTTCACTAAAAACTCGCAGTCCTTTTGTGCTGACATATTTGCTCGTATTATTGAGGTCCGTGAGGTACAGGCTTCGTGCGGTTATCAGACATAAACAAACCCAAATATGAATTTCGTAGTGTTGAAATTGGGGCATTTGTTTATCGCTCCGCTCAATGGCAACCTTTTGATGACATCACAACTTGCAGTCGCAGTTGTGATGTCATTGGGCTCGAGGGATCGTCTTTCCAGGTAAATGCTGCCACCTGGTGCATGACGGAATATAGCGCACATAAAATGTAGTTCGGATCTTGAGAAAAACGTGTCAACACAAAATAAATCGTCATAACAAGGCTTTATTCTAGTCATGGAGTTTACCCTCAAAATATAATCCATTTGAGATGCAAATGTTATTTTGTCAAATACACATTGTAAACCTGTTTCAAGAGAGCCAACTTGAATAGTTTGAAACATTGCTTGAAACCTTCAGCCAAAAACTGTAGTGGAAATGAATGTACAGTATTTGTAAATTTGCGCAGGCGCCGTGGTCGTTTCTGCATCTCAATTGGTTTTCCTTCCTGCCTGTGTCACCAGCTTCCCATCTGCGATCGACACAGCAGACTGTACGACCTAAAATAAGATAATTTTCTGTGGTAAAATTACGCTTTCTTCGTGGCAAGGTTAAAGGCAACGGCTGGATTTAACGCGGCAAGTAAAGTTGGATACAAGGACCTAGTTTTGAAATATTCTATTATGTACTTTTTTTATTTTTTACGATTAACACGACAGCTTGTGTGGGCAGCTTGTGTGGTCAAAAAACAATTGAAGTTGTCCGCTTTGACACAGCAGTGCAACATGCTAGCTAACGTTAACTAGCTCGCTAGCACAAGGCCAAAGGCCTGCAAACTGTAACTAACTAGTTAGCTAGCTTGCTGAGTCAAAAAGCTGTTAAAAACAATAGCTTGATAATGAACTCTTGACTGTCAAGATTAGCCATGTCACTGGCTAGTAAAGGGCCCTCAAATTGATGTTAGCTAACTAGCTTGTTAGTTTAGTGACACCCCTTTCACCTGGTCATTAGTAGTTAACTCAACCACAAAGTCATAATTATGGCTAAACTCTGCCCATTTCTACAATTTCTCTAATTAACATTTAATTTGAAAGCTAACCCTAACCACATGCCTAACCATAACTTTAAATCAGGACCAAAAAGCAAATTTTTATAGCTAATTTTAACTGTGGCTATGTATTCTGACTTAGTACCTGTGTTATCTAGTCTAGTGGAAACCCTTTAACCTCCAATTAGTAAAACATTTTTTACACCGGTCTAAACAGGAAGACAAATTTAGCAGACAGTACTGTCCTGTGCTTTGGAGATCGTAAACGAACTAATTCAGAATAATCTAGATTGGATTGTGCAAGTGTGTAATCTTTGGAGATAATACATTATGATAGATTAAAACTCAGACTTGATCATGTCTTTCTTGACCATTTCTCCATTGAACAAGGCAACTTTGTGTGCATCATTTGGAAGGTGCGTAACATAGCATACCCATGATTCATGACAGCGTTAGTAAGCAAATGGGGAGTTCCTAGAAGGCATTGCCGTAGATCCTTTAGCAGGAGTACAATGATCAGACCTGTTTTTGATATGGTCTCTGGATCAGACTAGGCAACCAGGTTAATCTGTTCAAGGTGACTCAGCTGAATTCAAGTGTTAATGGTTTGCGTTTGGCAGAATGCAAACCGATCTGCTTTCACAGCTTGACCTCTAATGGCCCTTCAGTGACAGTTATACCACCCTCTGACCTACACTACATGACCAAAAGTATGTGGACACCTACTCATCGAACATCTCATTCCTAAATCATATGCATTCATATGAAGTTGGTCCCCCCCTTTTCTGCTATAACAGCCTTCACGACTTCTGTAAGTTGCTTTGGATAAAAGCGTCTGCTAAATGGCTTATTATTATTATTATTATTATTATTATTATTCTGGGAAGGCTTTCCACTAGATGTTGGAACATTGCTGTGGGTACTTGCTAACATTCAGCCACAAGAGCATTAGTGAGGTCGGGCACTGATGTTGGGCGATTAGGCCTGGCTCACTGTCGGCGTTCCAATTAATCCCAAAGTGCTTCCACACCGATCTTGACAAACCATTTCTATATGAAACTCGCTTTGTGCACTGGGGGCATTGTCATGCTGAAACAGGAAAGGGCCTTCTCCAAACTCCACAAAGTTGGAAGGACAGAATTGTCTAGAATGTCATTGTATGCTGTAGCGTTAAGATTTCTCTTCATTGGAACTAAGGGGCCTAGCCCAAACCATGAAAAACAGCCCCAGACCATTATTCCTCCTCCACCAAACTTTACAGTTGGCACTATGCATTGGGGCAGGTAGCGTTCTCCTGGCATCCACAAAACCCAAATTCGTCTGTCGGACTGTCAGATAGTGAAGCGTGATTCATCGCACCAGAGAACGCATTTCCACTGCTCCAGAGTCCAATGGCGGCGAGCTTTACGCCACTCCAGCCGACGCTTGTCATTGCACATGGTGATCTTATGCTTGTGTGCGGCTGCTCGGCCATGGAAACCCATTTCATGACGCTCCCGATTAACAGTTAATGTGCTGACATTGCTTCCAGAGGCAGTTTGGAACTCGGTAGTGAGTGTTGCAACCGAGGACAGACTTTTAGCACTCGGCGGTCCCGTTCTGTGAGCTTGTGTTGGTGTACCACTTTGCTGCTGAGCCGTTGTTGCTCCTAGATGTTTCCACTTTACAATAACAGCACTTACAGTTGACCGGGGCAGCTCTAGCAGGGCAGAAATAGGACGAACTGACTTGTTGGAAAGGTGGCATCCTATGACGGTGCCATGTTGAAAGTCACTGAGCTCTTCAGTAAGGCCATTCTATTGCCAATGATTGTCTATGGAGATTGCGTGGCTGTGTGCTCGATTTTATACACCTGTCAGCAACGGGTGTGGCTGAAATAGCCGACTCCACTAATTTGAAGCGGTGTCCACATACTTTTGTATATACAGTGCCTTGCAAAAGTATTCATCCCCCTTGGCGTTTTTCCTATTTTGTTGCATTACAACCTGTAATTTAAATTGATTTTTATTTGGATTTCATGTAATGGACATACACAAAATATTCCAAATTGGTGAAGTGAAATTAAAAAAAATTACTTGTTTAAAAGAATTCTAACAAATAAATAATGGAAAAGTGGTGCGTGCATATGTGTTCACCCCATTTGCTATGAAGCCTCTTAATAAGATCTGGTGCAACCAATTACCTTCAGAAGTCACATAATTAGTTAAATAAAGTCCACCTGTGTGTCTAAGTGTCACATGATCTATCACATGATCTCAGTATATATACACACCTGTTCTGAAAGGCCCCAGAGTCTGCAACACCACTAAGCAAGGGGCGGCACCATGAAGACCAAGGAGCTCTCCAAACAGGTCAGGGACAAAGTTTTGGAGAAGTAAAGATCAGGGTTGGGTTATAAAAAAATATCAGGAACTTTGAACATCCCACGGAGCACCATTAAATCCATTATTAAAAAATGGAAAGAATATGGCACCACAACAAACCTGCCAAGAGAGGGCCGCCCACCAAAACTCACAGACCAGGCAAGGAGGGCATTTAATCAGAGGCAACAAAGAGACCAAAGATAACCCTGAAGGAGCTGCAAAACTCCATAGCGGAGATTGGGGTATCTGTCCATAGGACCACTTTAAGCCGTACACTCCACAGAGCTGGGCTTTACAGAAGAGTGGCCAGAAAAAAGCCATTGCTTAAAGAAAAAAATAAGCAAACATGTTTGGTGTTCGCCAAAAGGCATGTGGGAGACTCCCCAAACATATGGAAGAAGTACTCTGGTCAGATGAGACAAAAATTGAGCTTTTTGGCCATCAAGGAAAACGCTATGTCTGGCGCAAATCCAAAACCTCTCATCACCCCGAGAACACCATCCCCACAGTGAAGCATGGTGGTGGCACCATCATGCTGTGGGGATGTTTTTAATCGGCAGGGACTGGGAAACTGGTCAGAATTGAAGGAATGATGGATGGCGCTAAATACAGGGAAATTCTTGAGGGAAACCTGTTTCAGTCTTCCAGAGATTTGAGACTGGGACGGAGGTTCACCTTCCAGCAGCATAATGACCCTAAGCATAGTGCTGAAGCAAAACTGAAGTGGTTTAAGTGGAAACATTTAAATGTCTTGAAATGGCCAAGTCAAAGCCCAGACCTCAATCCAATTGAGAATCTGTGGTATGACTTAAAGATTGCTGTACACCAGCGGAACCCATCCAACTTGAAGGAGCTGGAGCAGTTTTGCCTTGAAGAATGGGCAAAAATCCCAGTGGCTAGATGTGCCAAGCTTATAGAGACATACCCCAAGATACTTGCAGCTGTAATTGCTGCAAAAGGTGGCTCTACAAAGTATTGACTTTGGGGGGGTGAATAGTTATGCACGCTCAAGTTTTCTGTTTTTCTGTCTTATTTCTTGTTTGTTTCACAATAAAACATATTTTGCATCTTCAAAGTGGTAGGCATGTTGTGTAAATCAAATGATACAAACCCCCCAAAAATCAATTTTAATTCCAGGTTGTAATGCAACAAAATAGGAAAAATGCCAAGGGGGGTGAATACTTTCGCAAGCTACTGTATAGTGTGTATTTAGAGCGTGCTCTGTGTGTAGGACCTTTGTTTTAAAGTGTTTTCCAGACAACTAGGCTGCATAACATCTAGGCAGATATATTAATAAATGATTTATATATATGTCATTGATTTTAATTCCCCTTCTGATTCACAAATAGCGCCTTTGTCTAAGAGCCCTTGTACATTAGACCCAAGTGTTATGCAATAATTCTTATCACTGAGGTGGTAACGGCGGCAAACAGTGAAAGAGTTTCAAAAGAGGCAGCAGCACGTAACTGGATTGTGTTAGTTCGTGGTGCACTGGACTGCATTACCAAAACTGCTTACACAAGATCCTTCTTAAATTGCCAACCTGGTCACTGTTTTATAGAATATTAGTATAAAAACTAGAGTCCTACCCAGGGGAGAATAACTGCCCCCTCTCATTGAAGCCACAGAAGTTTACGGCCGACCACGGTACTGCAGGCATTGTTAGCATAAAATGGACTCCCCCCATTATAGTGAATGAAAAATGCCAATATTTGTGTTAATAATTGTTTGTTTTTTGAAAACCGTCATGGTATCAATAATTGCTTCTAATACACCAGATGTATGTCCTTGAACCGATCATTTTTCAATCGCACACAGAAGTTATAATTTAATTGCTAATGGCAGCCTGCCGTATCCCGGGTGGCCTTCAACTTGAGTTACTCAATGAGAGGGGGCAGCACTGAGCTAGCCTGCAACGTCACTTCCTGGAGTAGCTCAAACTGTGCATGTTATGTTTCCATGAGATGCAATTTGGCTTCAATGCGAAAATTGAGTTTTCACATTGGAATGAATGGTGTCAAGTGATCAATGGCTTTGTCCATTCATATATACATTAATTGGTCCTACCGCAGTGCAGAAAACCTGATGCCTTCTGGATACAAGCCTCATTGTCACACAATCCTTCTCCACTATGCATGAGGGAGTTTTTGCAGACTGGTTGACCATCCATTTGTTACAATGTTGTTATAGCCATGGCATGTTTTGCTGAGAGGAAGAGGAAGCACACTGTTTCAGCATCAATAGATAATATTGCATTTTAACTACTGTCAATTTAATTAAGTTTGTATTCCCTCGCACAGGTTGAAAATCATCCAAGAGGTAATCTCCCCAGCGGTGATGTTTGTGGCGTAGGCCCAGGCTGTGTCTCATCTCCCATGGCTGTTACCACCATGGACCCAGAGTCAGCCCGCACATCACAGCCCCATGGCTCCCTGGTTAAAGGAGGGGGCTCCCTGCTATCTGGCAGGGATTTGGGGGCAGCTCTCACCTCTCGAGGAAAGCACTATGCGTGTGGTTCCATAGCTGCCTTCACCAACATCATGGTGACCTTCCCCATCCAGAAAGTTCTGTTCAGGCAGCAGCTGCACGGTGTGCGGGCCAGAGAGGCCGTCAAACAGCTCCAACGGGACGGGATGAGGAACCTCTACAGGGGGCTGCTCCCTCCTCTCCTCCAGAAGACCACCACGGTAGCAATCATGTTTGGCCTGTACGAGGACTTCTCCGATGTCTTACTGGACCAGGTGTCCACAGGCAGCGGCATTCCCGAGCTAGTGACGCGGAGCTTCGCAGCTGCGCTGGCGGGCACGGCAGAGGCTGCCCTGATGCCGTTTGAGCGGGTGCAGACTCTCCTCCAGGACCACCGGCACCACGACCGCTTCCACAACACGGCCCACACCTTCCGGACGCTCCTAAGCGAGTACGGTGTGAAGGAGTGCTACCGCGGCCTGGTGCCGGTCTTAATAAGAAACGGGCCCAGTAACATGCTGTTCTTCGGGCTCCGCGGGCCCATCAAGGAGCAGCTCCCTGAGGCCTCCAGCCGGGCTGGCCACCTGGTCAATGACTTTGTGTGTGGAGGGGTGCTGGGGGCGGCACTGGGGATCATGTTCTACCCACTGAATGTGGTCAAGTCGCGGGCCCAGTCCCAGGTTGGGGGCGCATTCCGGCCTTGTGGGGAGGTGTTAATGACGGTGTGGCGGGAGAGGGGCGGCAGCGTGGCCATGCTGTTCAGAGGGGCACACCTCAACTACCACCGCTCCCTTCTCTCCTGGGGCATCATCAACGCCACATACGAGCTGCTGCTCAAAATGTTCTGATACTGAAGGGGGGATAGAAAGAGGGGGAGGTGTAGAAAGAGGGAGGCGAAAAAATTAAAAAAAATGACTTGGGGAAAGTGTTGTTTGAGGGCAAGGATGATCGCAATTGATGCGGTCTCTTGTGTTTGGCACTTGAAACTGATGTGCCCACTTCCCACCCAAACAGGTCCAGATAGTTTGTGGGGGTAAGTGTCAACGGCAAGCAGAAGAGGACATCTGAAAGGTGAACTTTCACTACTGACAAGGGCTATCGGGTCAGTGTGAGATGAATTGCCAGTCTTGTTTAAAGTCCCAGTATCATAGACAAGGCCTGCGTTTGGGTCCAAAATTCAACGAAAGCCTTGTGCAAAAGATTTGAATTGTTCAATCTTTTATTTTATAAATGTATTAATTTAAATGGAATTGACAAATGATTGACATTCTGTAAGTACCGTTCCCAGTGTAGTCTGATGTGGTACCCAACAGAAAGTGTTAGAGGCAGTTTCACAGGGGGTAAGCCTTTTCAGAGACCAAGAGCACCTCTTAAAAAACTGTTCATTGTGTTGACCAGTGATTCTGTCTGTGTGCATTGATTATTAGTCCCTTCAACCCCTGCTTTCCCTACTCTGGTCCTCTGACTGTGAGCTCTGCTAAACTGATTGTTGTCCAACTATTTACCATGTCGGTCATCTTGGATTATGCACTGATTCAACCCTCTGCAGTGTACTAACCTAACTGTGTTTGTCCTGTAAGTATAGCGCTCGCCAGCTTGTAGTCCTAAAACCCGGAAATGAGTTCCCTCTGGTTCGTTCAGGCATTCCTATAGGGAAAATGAATGGGGAATTAATAGGGTTTGGGGATAAATGCAGAAAATAGTGAGCTTAGGAGATCTTATACGTTTTATTCTATGAGATATCAGTCAGTTAACATGACCTTTATTAATTATGAAGCCTTTATGTGCTTTTTAAAATTACATAAACGCTTCAAAATTCACAAACGGTTACGTTAGCTGATGAAGATTATCTCATAGAACAAAACAACTAAAATCTCCTAAGCCTGTGAATACCACAGACCTTGATCCAAAAACCCTACAAAAGCTCAATTTTCCCATAGGCTTTGTCCATCGAACCATGGCGGAGTTAGTGCCTACAAAAACGCCGTTACTATTGCTCTTTATAGTGCTCTCTATTACTTGAAAGATGACTGGAAACAGCAGTAGCTTAGAAGCACAGGGAACTGGACTAGGGAAGTGCTATATTTCTTCACTGTTATGACATCATCCAGTGCCAATCTAAGTGAATCTTGAAAATGTTTGTCAAAGATTTGTGTGTAATTAGCATATTCCTGAAGTGCTGCTTGTAGTGTGTGTGTGTGTGTGTGTGTGTGTCTGTCGAAGTTTTGACAAGTACCCATTGGTTTAAGTTTAATTTAAAATGTACTTGTTACCCATAACTTCTCTTCCATGATGAGATGGACTGAAAAAACATGAGGAGGCAATGAGACATGGCCAAATGTTGTTTCTCAGATAAAACATGCACAATTGTGAATTAAACAAATTACACACAAACAATACAGGAACACAAAGATCTCTCGATGTAGCCCTTCATTTACACACTCGCTTCTCTCCATATGTGTCTCCTTCCCTTGCTCTCTTCGTTCTGACTGCTGCACACTTGTTATCCTCTCTGCCCATAACCCCTGTTGACATAATGGGCTCAAATTTTAAGCTTGAGTAGAGGCAGTCACCATGCAGCGGCACACACTGGATATGACAGGCCAGATAGGGAAGGCATGCTGCTAGGGGATTGAGACTTGGCTGGAGAGAGAGCGAAGGAGAAAGAGGAGTGTGTGAGAACTAGTATGAGGGAGACTGAATGCAGATGAACGTGAGAGAATGAGGAAAGGGAGGGGGTAGTGTGTTGTGCTGTAGAAAGTTACATCTGCCATTTAATTTGATCATTTTGCGATGTATATGCCTTCTGTATTTTCAACTAAAAAATCATCTTAGCGCTGAATAAGATCAGTACAGTTTTCAGTTGGTTTTCTAGCTTTGAAGGTACAACAAGTATGTTTTACTGAATGTTTCAAAAACTGTGACTAGGATATTACATAAAACATTTCCAAATGAGTTGCAGATCACTTGTTGGTCACAGATTTCATATTAATGTGCTGCTAACCAAGCCAGCAAGCATTGAAAATAAACATTTACAATGTCTGAAAGAGAAAGCATAGGCTTATTTTGTCCATTTGTGAATAATCTGTCATTTTTCATGATGTTCAATCATATTGTAAAGATACACTAGATACCGTGCCTTCAGAAAGTATTCACACCCCTTGAATTTTTCCACATTTTTTTGTGTTACAGTTTGAATTTAAAATGGATTCAATTGAGATTTTTTTGTCACTTGCCTACACAATTCCACATTTTGTTGTGTTACAGTTTGAATTTAAAATGGATTCAATTGAGATTTTTTTGTCACTTGCCTACACACAATTCCACATTTTGTTGTGTTACAGTTTGAATTTAAAATGGATTAAATTGAGATTTTTTTGTCACTTGCCTACACACAATACCACAATGTCAAAGTAGAATGTACAAATTAATTAAAAATTAAAAGCTGAAATGTCTTGAGTCAAGAAGTATTCAACTCCTTTGTTATTGCAAGCCTAAATAAGTTCAGGAGTAAAAATGTACTTAACAAGTCACATAAGTTGCATGGACTCACTCTGTGTGCATTAATAGTATTTAACATGATTTTATAATGACTACCTCATCTCTGTACCCCACACATACAAATATCTGTAAGGTCCCTTGGCCAAGCAGTGAATTTCAAACACAGATTCAACCACAAAGACCAGAGAGGTTTTCCAATGCCTCGCATAGAAGGGCACCTATTGGTAGATGGGTAAAAATGTAAAAAGCAGCCATTGAATATACCTTTGAGCATGGTGATGTTATTAATTACACTTTGGATGGTGTATCAATACACCCAGTCCATTACAAAGATACAGGTGTCCTTCCTAACTCAGTTGCCGGAGAGGAAGGAAACCGCTCAGGGATTTCACCATGAGGCCAATCGTGACTTTAAAACAGTTAGAGTTTAATGGCTGTGATAGGAGAAAACTGAGGATGGGTCAACAACATTGTAGTTACTCCACAATACTAACCTAATTGACAGAGTGAAATGAAGGTAGCCTGTACAGCATACAAGTATTCCAAAACAGGCATCCTGTTTGCAACAAGGCACTAAAGTGATACTGCAAAAAAATGTGGCAAAGCAATTAGCTTTTTGTACTGAATACAAAGTGCTATGTTTGGGGCAAATCCAATACAACACATTACTGAGTACCACTCCATATTTTCAAGCATAGTGGTGGCTGCATCATGTTATAGGTATGCTTGTAATTGTTAAGGACTGGGTTTTTCAGGATAAAAAAAGAAACAGAATGGAGCTAAGCACAGGCAAAATTCTAGAGGAAAAATCTGGTTCATTCTGCTTTCCACCTGACACTGGGAAATGAATTCACCTTTCAGCAGGACAATAACCTAAAACACAAGGCCAAATCTACACTGGATTTGCTTACCAAGAAGACAGTGAATGTTCCTGAGTGTCCGAGTCACAGTTTTGACTTAAATCTGCTCAAACATCTGTGGCAAGACTGGAAAATGGTTGTCTAGCAATGATCAATAACCAATTTGACAGAGCTTGAAGAATTTCGAAAAGAATAATGGGCAAATATTGTACAATAAAGGTGTGCAAAGCTCTTAGATACGTACCCAGAAAGAATTGCTGCCAAAGGTGATTCTCCCATGTAATGACTCACACCTTTGGGATGAATCGGAACACCGACTGCGAGTGAGGCATAATCGCCCAACATTAGTGCCAACCACACTAATGCTCTTGTGGCTGAATGGAAGCAAGTCCCTTCAGCAATGTTCCAACATCTAGCGGAAAGCCTTCCCAGAAGAGTGGAGGCTGTTATAGCAACAAATGGGGGGAGCAAGTCCATGTTATTGCCCATGATTTTGGAATGAGATGTTCGATGAGCAGGTGTCCACATACTTCTGGTCATGTAGTGTAAATAACGATTTGGTAAAAGTGTCACATTTTTATACGAAGAAACCCACATGTTTTATATAAAGGTGAAATGCTTCTTAAACCGTTGTGTATGTGTGTCATCATTTGGGTGTGAGTGAGTCAACATTATCATTGTGAACATGACGCTTCAGACCTTCCATTTTCGGTTCAGTCATTACTCACTGTTACTGCTCAACTTGTTCTTACCGAAACAACCAGTTAATCCCTATTGACAAACCACAGGGGAAACCTTGCCATGCATACTACTCAAAACACAGTTTCATTATATGTTCATTTAAGCTTACAAACCAGAACTCTAATTAACACAATAAAGGGTATGTCTAAATGCTATGGCAATTTCAGGGCAAGCAACATTTTGCCATTCACCTAATCTTGGTTACCCAGAAGTACAATTATTGCGAAATTGTGTCACTTCCGTTTACATGCAGAATCTTACTGGTACAGCCTGCGACTGGGGAAGTCAGGACAACTGTCAAGCCAAGCCACAGGGCTGGTTAGTGTGGCTATGTGAGGGCAGGGATCTGACTGCCGGGTTAAGAAATCAGACGTTCAAATATTTACCCCTGGGTTCAATGTCAGGTCAACATCACTGTTTCTAAGTCATGGTGATTTGGCTTATTATACAGACACTCCCAACTGAATATTTGAGAAATGGCTGCTGCCCAGAGCGGTCAAACAGCTTGTGGTGTTTGTGTTTTTACTGTGCATTGTTCCATAGTGTCTTATCACAAACTATCAGGATAGGGACTATAAGATCTAGGCTAGTGGCCAAAACAGCCCAAAATATGAGATCATCACATTTATTTTCAAACAATACTTTAATTAAGATCAATGGTAATGAAGAATGGCATGAACATAAAATATCCATAATTGATTGTTCCTCCATGACGTTTCATGACATCAGAGAAAGATATGGCTTCAGGGAAGTTTCTCTAAAGAGACTGGTTTCTCTGTAGTGTGCATTCACATGAAACAGTAGATGCACCTCGCTTTTTAACCTGGTCTGCCCTTTTCCAGAGGCAGAGACAGGAGTTAGATCTCACATGCCTTTTTGCTGTTGTCTATTCCCACGGGGGGCCAGTATGAAAAATAAATGCACTCACTAATTATAAGTCGCTCTGGATAAGAGTGTCTGCTAAATTACTAAAATGTCAATTGGATCACTAAAAAAATAGTTAAACATGTTACATCAATAAATGACTGTACATGGATGTCTATAATCCACTAACAGCACTATGCAGTGTGTTTATGATCAGTTTATATCCCAGTGTTTGTCATAGGTACAGTATTGAAGTCTGTGTGATATAATGGATTTAACTGAGGGAGATTAACAGGTGGCATCAGATGTTGATGAGCCTATTGGTGGGCAGCACTTTGGATAAGCCAAGCTGAGCCAAACCATCCAGATAGTTATATGGAGTGATATTAGTGCCAAAAAGATACTGACTCAATTTGATTCGGTTGGCAATAATACCATTCCATATAGTCAGTCGATAATCTCAAATACATTAGAAATGTCTTGGAATTTGTTTGAATCTGATGCTATATGGCAAATCTGTGTTTAACTTGAACAAAAAGGAGGAGAATGACTGCGACAATAAAATATCTGTGTGTCTCAACAAACAAAAGGCAAAACTCCCATTTATTTAGTCAAAGTTCAGATTTAATATGTTTACAGGATCTTGACTTGGGCTCTGTCCAGGATCAGTGAGTTGTGAACAGTTTCCAGTCACAGAACAGCTCTGCATTTTACCCACAACAGAGCAGGTTGGAAGCCACTGCTGAGATATGTTGCATCCAATTACGTGCAACGTTGCAGAACATTGGGATCCTGAACATACCCGTGATTATATTACAGAAACTCCAGTATAATAAATGGAAGCCCTCTGTATTTCCAGTAACAAAGACTATAAAACATATGCAGGTATTCTTGTCTTTAATGTTAACACAATTGTAACAGAGACTGATATGTGGGAGAACAGGGAAGTAGTGGTTATGTTTGCATAGCCATAAACTAAGGAAGGACAGATAGAATCAAACTAACACAAACATAGATGTATATCTATCTACAGCTCTGGTACAAACCGAAACAGTCAGTCCGTCCGTCTGCAGAACTAAACATGGGCAAGTAGTAAAATAGTAAAATTGTGTCTCAGTGTTAAATGCCTTTGGATCGTTGCTACATCTGGTAAGTTTTAACAGTCAGACTTCCTTGTGCCTTGTCAAAACCATTTTTTATAAAATACCAAATGAATTCCTTTCCCCTACTCCCCCACCCACGCAACCCACCCCAGAAAAATATATGTATCCTTTGGATTCAGAGTTGATGTACTGTATAATTACTGCATATAAGCGTTTGGGTTATTGAGGGTTTTCAAGCATTCACACACAAGTAGTCAGTCAGGAGCCAGGAATGGAACATAAATAAATAGGTTAACTGTTTTCACAGGGTTCATTTCTCTTCTTAAAGGTGCAATCTGTATATTTATTTTACGGTCAATAGTTCTCCCCTTGCATTTGTTTGTAAACGGAAGGGGTGGGTCTTGGCGAATGTAAAAGTTTGTGTTGTGTTTTACTGTTTGGCCTAACATGTTTGTTGTACTTTTTCCTAGAGTTCCCAATAGAAAAATCTAAGTTACAGATTGCACCTTTAACTGGATCCGCAGACTCATTAAAGCAGCCAAAGCAGACACCAGCCCAGAGGAGGAAAGGAAGGTGGGGGGAGGTAGAATAAAACTACAACAACCATAGGGTCTTACACCAGCAAGGACCTGCACATCATAGACCATGGTGCAAACAGTTATAGAAATAAATACATAAATTACATAAATACGTACATACATAATTCATACATACAGTATATAATAATAAGATAGATAGTTATAAAATACCTATGTACAAATGCATAGTCCAGATGAGTCCATCGGGAGTAATGGCAGTCAGTGGAAGAGGTTCTTCTCATCATTTAGGGATGTGTTTGGTGTGTGTGTGTGTGTGTGCATGGCACTTACTGTACAAGTGTGTATGTACTGTACTGTATCACCTCAGTCCTGGTAGCGAGAAGGGGTTTTAAAAGTTGAGAGGTCAAAAGTTGAGAGGTGTGTGACCCGGCGTGTCCGGCGAGTGCGTCCTGAACAGCTGCGTAAGCGCAAAGACGGAAGAGATGAGCACCGTGCACCGTTTGGCCAGTAGCCTCACCCCCTCGCCCTCTCCCTGTCCAACCCCAGACCCAGATCCGGCCCCGGCTCCAGCCGTCTCCACAGCCCCAACAAACCCCCTGTAAAGCCCTACGATCTCCTTCAGCTTGTCCAGAGCCTCCTCCTGGCCCTCATCATCATCACTGCTCTGGGTCTGACCCCCGTTGCGGCAGACGTCACATCCAGGACAGGGGTGTGTTCTCAGGCAGGCTGCGGAGAGCTGCACCAGGGCACTGAAACTGTTGGATAAGGAACGAAGTGCCTCCTCTGGAGCCCAGCCCACACGCGTGGCACGTTGGCACCCTGTTGCCAACCGCCGGGCCTCAGCCTGTAGTAAACTCCTCTCAGGCTCCGTCATGGGCGGAGGACTTGCACCTCCACAGCACGGGGTTGGACCCTCCCCTTTGGTTGGGTTGAGTCCCCCTTCTCCACCCTCATCCTGGTCTGTTTTGGAAGGTTCTGATGATGGTGGTGGCCCAGCCGTGCCTCTCTCCAGGACCAGTAGGAGCTGATCAATGTCCTGCCTCAGGGAGACGAAGCCACCCTTCAGCCCCCCGTATTGCTTGTTGGTGAGGGAACGCAGGGAGCCGATGGGGGGCGTGGGGGAGATGGGTCGGGACAGGAGGGGGCTGAGCTCTGAGGAGGTGTTGGAGAGGGTGGAGAGGGGGCGAGGTGTGTCCCTCAGCAGGGACAGGATGTTGGGGGAGGGGACGGGGGAGGTGGGGGAGGGCAGGGGTGTAAAGGGGGCTGGTTTGGGGCGCGTGCGTTTGGAGAACTCGTAGATGGTGAGCTCCTCGTCGAAGCCGCAGCCGTCCTCCACGTCACCGCTGAAGCAGTTGGCATAGACGGTGCGGCAACCGCACTCCTTACGGTGGTCCGGGGGAGGAGTGTGCTCCAGAGAGTCCCCCTCTAGGGGCGGGCCTGAACCGCCCCCTAACCCCACCTCTGAGTGGGGCCTGGACTGGGGCTGCTCCGACTTGCAGGACCCCAGGAACATGTAGGGTTCTGAGACGTGTGTGCTGTTTTCTCTCAGGGTCAGGTTGGGGTGCGACCCGTTCGTCACTTCCTGGAACTCTTTGATGGTCGCTATGACAACCTCGGCTCCATCCTCCAGCACTTCCTTCTTCCCTTTGCCCCCCGCAGTCTCACCAACTGTTGCCTGGGCAGTGACCTTGCTGACCTCAGAGGCTCCGCTGACCGACAGACCGGAGCCGTAGCCAGACGTGACATCCCCGTTGATGGAGTTGGTGGAGGGGTAGTCCAGGGTGCCCAGGATCTCCTGGGAGCGGGTCATGTACCAGGGCAGGGCCTGAATCCTCCCTCTCAGGGCTGAGGTAGGCAGACGGCCCCCCAGGCTGGACGAGCTGACCCTCAGGTCTGAACCTGACCCTGACCTTCCTGTGCTCTCTGGGCCTCCCGCTGTCCCTTTAGAGGAGGAGGTGGTTAGGGAGGTGGTCAGGCTGAGGGGGGCGTCTGTGCTTTTGGGCGACAGGTTCTCGTGACTCAGAGAAACCCTCCTCCCGGTCTGAATGCTCCCGTTGCGACTAACCCAGGGCTGGAGGCCATTCGGCGGACACATGCCCTCTTTCTCATTTGGTGAGACCAGAATGGGGAGGACTGATAGGGGATGGAGAGAAGGAGGGGAGGGTTTGGGAGAGAGTGGTGGAGGGGTGGCCAGGCTCAACCTGATCTCATCTCCTGAAGCAGAACGTGGAATGGGGGACAAGCTTGGCAGCTTTTTCGGGGGGTCCACCCCAACCCCCGTTCTGACTGCTCCCTTCAGCAGGGAAACCCTGTTTGTTTTAGTTTCAACCTCGGCTGTCTGCTTGTCAGAAGTGACCGGAACATGGTCCTTAGGAAGCACATGGTGAGTCCCGTTCTTAGAACCGTTCTCTTGCTTAGAACTGTTCTCTATCTTAGGCCCATTCTCCACACCCTGTGGACCAGCTGGAGGTTGCTGGCTCTTCCGTACTGCCGTGATGAGGGGGGAGGTGAGCGGAGGCCCCACCGCTCCCGAGGTGACTGATTTAAACTCCATGGTGTCTGGTTCCATGGTGTCTATCTCTAGCAGGCCTGCATGGCCCCCACCAGCATCCCCGTTACAGTGGGAGTATGGACCACCGCGCTGGGGAGACCTCTGGGGGCCCATCTGGGGCTTGGGGGCCAGTTCTGGTTTTGGGGGTAGCTGGGGCTTGGGGGCCAATGGTGGAGGCTTGGTCTTGGCATCAACCCTCTGAGTGGAGGCCTGGTTTGAGTGGGGCTTTGGGTCTCGTTGGATCTCCTGCTGTTTCTTGTGGTCAGGGGAGGAGTGTTTCTTTTTGAGGGGTGACGGAGGCTCCCTCTCTGGTACCACTGGCAGTCCGTTCCCTGTGCCACTCCAGCGTTTACTGTGCCTCTTAATGTCAGCCGCATCCCAACTGTTTTCTGTGTGAGAGAGAGAGAGGGGGGGGGGGGGTTAAAAGGGTGACAGAAATCATTCAACACACATTTAAACAGTTAGTCTGTCAGTGAAGAAGTCATGTCAACAACCCACCTGCACCATCAGGAGGAACTGGAGGAGTGAACCGCTCCTGGGCATCGAAGAACTCATCGTCTGACTCCGAAGCACTTTCCCTAGCAATAGGAGGAGGAGGGTTAGGGGACGGCGTTAGGAAAGGCTCAGAATCTCCAGAGTGACTTGATAGACGCTCCTCCCCTTTGTGGGCGGAGCTACAAACAGCCCTCTTTTCACAGAAGGAGGTGACGCTGGGGATGATTCTGGGGATGTCTAACTTGTTTTTGGAAGCAGTTTTGTTAGACCTGGCGCAGATCTTGTCGATGAGGCGCAGGTCTATGTGACTGGGTATCTTAGAGAGCCGTCTCAGTTCCTCCTCATCATCGTCATCCTCAACTTCCTCTGTCTCCTCCTCGTCGCTGGTGGCCTCGGGGGGGCTGGGGAGGTAGCTGCCCTGGGAAAGCTCGGCAAAGCAAAGGCACAAGCTATCGTTGCTACGGTAACTCAGGTTGGTGGGGCGTACGGAGGCGGAGGCCGTGCTGCCGGCGGCGCCCTTTCTCTGGCGCTGTGGAGAGGGAGATGTGACCTCCAGGAGGAACGGGTGGTGGACATCCAGGGTGGTGATTCCCTGAGTCGGCCGTTGGGACCGGAGAGAGGGGCTGTCCTCACGCAGGGCGTCCACGTGAGAGGAGGCCTTGGCTGGGTCCCCTCCCCTGGCTGCAGCTGTGGCACCGCACTCCTCCAGGGCAGCACTCAAAGAGCCACTGGACAGGCTGGAGAAGCTACTGTTGACCCGCGGGTCTGTGTGGTACCAGTTAGTGTCCAGCACCATGTCCTGTTCCACTGTTCCTTTATTGGCTTTATTTCCTAGATGTATCTCTCTTCCGTCCTCCTCCTCAACTTCCATGTCCTTCTCTGACGTCACAATGATCTTCACCTCCTGTTTATCTGCATCTTCTTTTTCAGCTCTCTCTTTCTTTCCCTCCGCTCCTCTCTGCTCCTCCTTTTCTCTCCTCCACCCCTCCCTGTCTTTGCTGGCGGGTGCGTGGCGTTTGCGGGTGTGCGTTGGCGGAGGCTCGGCGGGGTAGTCCTCATCTGAAGAGTCATCGGAGTCACTACAGCAGCGGGACACATAGCCTGGAAATGACAAAAAAAACACAGTTTACTATGTAAATAATAGTCGTCTCAAATGAAGACATTTGATCTGTATCAACTATCCATACTGGCTGATATCCACTTATCAACGGCCCAAAAAATTGTATGATCAATGCCAAAAAAGGAAAAAGTATAGTTAAACATTTATGCTCACTTGTCAGCGATTCATAGCAAACTCCCTCTATAACGGCGAACTTCCCTTCACACACACCTTCCTCAGCAGGTATCCTGTGCACCCGCACCTTAGGGCGTCCCAGACGGAACACACACACTCTGGGGTCCACCAGGAGCTTGCAGTAGCCCCCCAGTAGACACGCCAGGTCTTTGGCTGCCAGAGAGTCCATCAGTAAGGCAAAAGGCTGGAGAGAGAGGGGGATGAGAGAGCAAGAGAGAGAGAGAGAGAGAGAGAGAGAGTTAAGGGAGAGAGAATACAGTGAGGAAAAAAAGTATTTGCTCCCCTGCTGATTTTGTACGTTTGCCCACTGACAAAGAAATGATCAGTCTATAATTTTAATGGTATGTTTATTTGAACAGTGAGAGAGAATAACAACAACAAAATCCAGAAAAACGCATGTCAAAAATGTTATAAATTGATTTGCATTTTAATGAGGGAAATAAGTATTTGACCCCCTCTCAATCAGAAAGATTTCTGGCTCCCAGATGTCTTTTATACAGGTAACGAGCTGAGATTAGGAGCACACTCTTAAAGGGAGTGCTCCCAATCTCAGCTTGTTACCTGTATAAAAGACACCTGTCCACAGAAGCAATCAATCAATCAGATTCCAAACTCTCCACCATGGCCAAGACCAAAGAGCTCTCCAAGGATGTCAGGGACAATATTGTAGACCTACACAAGGCTGGAATGGGCTACAAGACCATCGCCAAGCAGCTCGGTGAGAAGGTGACAACAGTTGGTGCGATTATTCGCAAATGGAAGAAACACAAAATAACTGTCAATCTCCCTCGGCCTGGGGCTCCATGCAAGATCTCACCTCGTGGAGTTGCAATGATGTCACGATCGTTGCCTGACTCGGACCAAGGCGCAGCGTGGTAAGCATACATTTTATTTAATTAACGTACTTAACACACACTAACAAAAACAACAAACCAAACGATACGTGAAGTCCTAGGTTAACACCAAAACAAACCAAACGGAACAAGATCCCACAATGACTAGTGCCAAACATGCTGCCTAAGTATGGTCCCCAATCAGAGACAACGAGAAACAGCTGCCTCTGATTGGGAACCACCCTGGCCAACATAGATCTACACGATCTAGATAAACAACATAGAAAATACAACATAGACACTACACACCCTGGCTCAACATTTAAGAGTCCCCAGAGCCAGGGCGTGACAAATGATCATGAGAATGGTGAGGAATCAGCCCAGAACTACACGGGAGGATCTTGTCAATGATCTCAAGGCAGCTGGGACCATAGTCACCAAGAAAACAATTGGTAACACACTACGCCGTGAAGAGACTGAAATCCTGCAGCTCCTGCAAGGTCCCCCTGCTCAAGAAAGCACATATACATGCCCGTCTGAAGTTTGCCAATGAACATCTGAATGATTCAGAGGAGAACTGGGTGAAAGTGTTGTGGTCAGATGAGACCAAAATCGAGCTCTTTCTCATCAACTCAACTCGCCGTGTTTGGAGGAGGAGGAATGCTGCCTATGACCCCAAGAACACCATCCCCACCGTCAAACATGGAGGTGGAAACATTATGCTTTGGGGGTGTTTTTCTGCTAAGGGGACAGGACAACTTCACCGCATCAAAGGGATGATGGACGGGGCTATGTACCGTCAAGTCTTGGGTGAGAACCTCCTTCCCTCCGCCAGGGCATTGAAAATGGGTTGTGGATGGGTATTCCAGCATGACAATGACCCAAAACACATGGCCAAGGCAACAAAGGAGTGGCTCAAGAAGAAGCACATGAAGGTCCTGGAGTGGCCTAGCCAGTCTCCAGACCATAATCCCATAGAAAATCTGTGGAGGGAGCTGAAGGTTTGTGTTGCCAAACGTCAGCCTCGAAATCTTAACGACTTGGAGAAGATCTGCAAAGAGGAGTGGGACAAAATCCCTCCTGAGATGTGTGCAAACCTGTTGGCCAACTACAAGAAACGTCTGACCTCTGTGATTGCCAACAAGGGTTTTGCCACCAAGTACTAAGTCATGTTTTGTAGAGGGGTCAAATACTTATTTCCCTCATTAATATGCAAATCAATTTATAACATTTTTGACATGCGTTTTTCTGGATTTTTGTTGTTGTTATTCTGTCTCTCACTGTTCAAATAAACCTACCATTACAATTATAGACTGATCATTTCTTTGTCAGTGGGCAAACGTACAAAATCAGCAGGGGATCAAATATTTTTTTCCCTCACTGTACATATTTTCCATCCAGTGTATTTGTGTGTGAACTAAGTGTACCTATGAGCAAACTTGTGTGTCTGAGAGAGATTGTGTGTGTGATCTGTGTGTGTGTGATCTGTGTGTGTGTGTATCATATACAGTGTGTATGGTATCCTACCTTGATGTCGTGCAGTGAGATGCGTAGCAGGCTGACTCTGTCCGACTCAGAGAGCAGCTCCACTCTACTGATGCTGCTGAAGTCCACCAGGGTGGACACCATGTTGAGCTTGTGGTTGACCACCTGACTCAGGCCGTAGCGCGCTCCCACCAACAGACTGACCAGCGCCTCCCGGTCCTGCAACTGGGGTGGGGAAGGACGGAGAAAGACAGAGGGGGAGGGGTACAGAGGGGTGTAGAGAAAGCGTGGATGGGAGAGAGAGACGAGGGAAGAGAGAGAGGGAGAGGTAAAGAGGAAGAGAGGGAGAGAGAGAGGGAAGAGGGGTGAAATGGAGAAAGAAGGAGATACAGTCTGAGATGCATACTGAATCATGACAGGGTGAAACGAGGCCAGAATGGGAGGGATCAATCCTGTCCAGCCAATAACAGCTCTCTAAATTGGGGCAGAGTCAGAGAATGATTGACAGCTATAGTTATCGTTTGTAAGTTGTTTCAAACACACTAACCATCATGGTGGCTGTGTAGGAGCGGCCCCCATAGGAGATGAGCTCTGCAAGCTGGGTGAGGTAGGCCAGCCGGGCCTGAGTGGCTGGGATCACCTGGGAGAGAGAAGGAGAGGGAGAGGGAGAGGGAGAGGGAGAGAGAGAGAGAGAGAGAGAGAGAGAGAGAGAGAGAGAGAGAGAGAGAGAGAGAGAGAGAGAGAGAGAGAGAGAGAGAGAGAGGACAATGATAACAACAATAAGACTGTGTATTACACGCATCATCTCTCCCTCCCTCTTCCTCCCTCTCCCTCTCTCTCTCTCCCTCCCTCCCTCTCTCCATCTCTCTCCTTCCCTCTCCCTTTCTCTCCCTCTCCCCCTCTCCCTCCTTCTCCCTCCCTCTCCCTCTCTCTTTCTCTCCCCCTCTCCATCCCTCCATGCCTTCTGTTGTGGCTCCAGCAGTGACTGGATCTTCTTGAGGTGGTAGCTGATGGCTTTCCTCAGGTCCTTCTCTCTCATGTTACTGAGCAGAGTTGGAGAGATGAAGCTGTCCAGACCAAACTCTTTCCTGTCACGATACACACAGGAGACAATATCAGTGTGTGTGTGTGCGTGTGTGTGTGTGTGTGAGTGTGTGTGTGTGTGTGAGTGTGTGTGTGTGTGTGAGTGTGTGTGTGTGTGTGAGTGTGTGTGTGTGTGTGACTCACATGATGCTCTTGACAGAGGTCCGGGTGGAGCCTATGCTGTCCAGTCTCTCGTGCATGTGCAGGGCAGCCAGACGCAGTGCAGTGTTACACTTCATCTCCACCGCAAACCTCTCCTGTAGAACGTCCCCGACGCTCTGACAAAACACACACACACACACACAAACACACACACACACAAACACACACCAAAGAATGACACACACAAGGAAGAAGTGTTCTTTCCTTCACCATAAATCACACTGACACATGTTTGGCAATAATCCCTCCCTGCAAACCCTGATTCTGTCAGTCGAAGGTGACTACAACCATCGCTGCGGGAAGATGTTTAGGCGTGGGGGTGCGGATAATGTTTTGTCGACGCTACAGGCGTCTATATCAGTCCACTAATACAGGACTACTAAAGGCCCAGTGCTGCAGGCGTCTATATCAGTCCACTAATACAGGACTACTAAAGGACTACTAAAGGCCCAGTGCTGCAGGCGTCTATATCAGTCCACTAATACAGGACTACTAAAGGACTACTAAAGGCCCAGTGCTGCAGGCGTCTATATCAGTCCACTAATACAGGACTACTAAAGGCCCGGTGCTGCAGGCGTCTATATCAGTCCACTAATACAGGACTACTAAAGGCCCAGTGCACAACTTTATTTTTATTTCATATTTTTTTGGTCCACGTTTTTATCAATACATGTTTTTTATTGTGATTTCTCAGGGGGTGCTGCAGCACCCTCAGCATCCCTACTTCCCACAGCTATACATACAAGTCTTTTAAAGCAAACACTGCTTGCCTGAATGCAAGTTAGACAGGTTCTCATGGCTATAGGTACAGGTGAAAGTACAGGTAGACGAGTTACAGGCACTGAACATGGTAGTCCAGGCCTACAGGTAGATGTGGCTAGCTACTCACCTGGAGGAAGAGGTACTCGAAGGCGGTGGGGTCTTCCTGTAGCAGCTCCAGGGGGTCTCTGGGAATGAAGCACACCCTGAAAAGACACCTGTAGTCATGGCTGCTATTCTCCTTCTTCTGCACCACCTGGAGACACAGGGTTACATAGAGGTGTACTGACTGACTGACTGACTGCACTGGTTATACAGGTTGAGGCTGAGTGTGTGTGTCCTCCTCACCTTGTGTATGAACTCGTCCTCGTGCAGCAGCAGAAGCTTGGTGATGCTGTACTGCTGTTCCAGCACCAGAGAAAAGTACTCAATACAGCAGATAGACAACTTGTCCTTCAGAGTCAGAATGATGTCCTGCAACAACCAAACAATAGCATATCTTAGACAACAAACACCAGGTAAGGTATTTTGCATAGTAATGCTGTCGTAATGATGCCTGATAAATAGATACTTGTGTTAGCGCTAGTAGGGTAGTGAGTCATGCAGACGACACAGGTTTACATAAGCACAAGTGATTCTTTGGCATCAAATCATAATATTTGTAGGTAAAATGTAATACATATTATATCCGTACTTTGATGGTGGTGGTAGCGTCAAACTTGAAGGCCTTGGTCTGTCCATTCTCAAGATAGACCTTCAGAACGTTGGGCAGGAACAGAAGAGAGTTTCCCTGCAGGAAGAAAAAGAGAGGATGAGAGAGAGAGAGAGAGAGAGAGAGAGTCTTGAGATAGACAGACTGCTAGAGAGCTAATATAGTGAGAGCTATCGAGAGATAGAGAGAGAGAGATAGAGACGAGATATAGATATAGCTATAGAGAGAGAGAGAATAGATGGCTGGTTCCTGACCTGCGTGTGACCATTGACGACCACTTCCTCTGTAAAGCGTACTTTGATCGGGTTACTCCTCAGACGAGCCCTCTTCTCTGCCGACATGATGGATGACTTAGGACCCTGACACACAGAGAAACAACATTATGTCATCACATACAGTACACACAGATGTACACATATACACATATGGACACACTTGCATGCACGCACGCATGCACACTCACACACACACTTACTGTCATATTCCTTAGAATTGTCATTGTGACAAAGTCTTCCAAGTCCCTAAAGAAACACAGAGACAAGATGTTTCTGTCCAGCGGTCATGTAAACATTTTCACTACACTGACATTTGACCTGACTGACTTAGCATTTGAACTGACACACCCTCAAACTCTCTCACACACACACACACACACACACACACAATCACACAGACATTATGAAAGTATGCTTTCAGAACTGGAAGGGAGTCCTAGTCCCAGTAACCTGTCTCTTCTCTCTAATCTAGTGAGAATATAGAGACTGAGAAATAGAGGGAGAAAACAGAGTAAGGGACAGAGGGAATAAAGAGAGAAAATATAATGTTAGTTACCTGGTGATGTCTTGCAGCTGTTCATAGCTAAGATAGTCTACCACCAGGTCATTCATCTGTAACACCTGGTCTCCAGGGTACAGTATCCCATCCGCTGGGCCTCCTACACACACACACACACAAACACACACAGAGGAGAAAATTAGTTATATAGTTCAACACAGTCACATGTGCTTACATTAGCTCCTCTGGGGAGGCATATGAGGGTTAACATTATTCTGGGTCCTCGCCAGCCTCTCTACCATCCTCTCTGCCAGCCTCTCTGCCAGCCTCTCTGCCAGTCTCTCTGACAGCCTCTCTACCATCCTCTCTGCCAGCCTCTCTGCCAGCCTCTCTATCACCTCTCTGCCAGTCTCTCTACCAGTCTCTCTGCCAGCCTCTCTGCCAGCCTCTCTGCCAGTCTCTCTGACAGCCTCTCTACCATCCTCTCTGCCAGCCTCTCTGCCAGCCTCTGTGCCAGCCTCTCTGCCAGCCTCTCTGTGAGCCGCTCTACCAGACTCTCTGCCAGCGTCTCTGCCACTGTGAGCCGCTCTACCAGCCTCTCTATCAGCCTCTCTGCTTTCTCTGGTTATTTATACTAATTTGTCTTCAGGCCAGAGAGCAGGACTGAGGCACAGCAGTTTCTGTGTTTGGTTTTCGGCAGGCATAATGGGACCCATCTCGTCCAAAAAGTTGACTCAAGTTTGCCAAAAAGCACCTGGATGATCATCAAGACTCTTGGAAGAACGTTCTATGGACAGATGATTCAAAAGTATAACTTTTTGGACGACATGGTTCCAGTAATGCCTGGCGAAAACCAAACTCTACATTCCACAGTAAGAACATCATACCAAAGGTCAAGCATGGTGGTAGTGGTGTGATGGTTTGGGGATGCTTTGCTGCCTCAGGACCTGGACGACTTGCCTTAATAGAAGGAACCATGAATTCTGCTCTGTATCAGAGAATTCTACAGGAGAATGTCAGACCATCCGTCTGTGAGCTGAAGCTGAACCGCAGCTGGGTCATGCAGCAAGACAATGATCCAAAACACACAATCAAGTCTACATGAAAATTGCTAAAAAGCAACAAATTGGAAGTTTTGGAATGGCCTAGTCAAAGTCCAGACCTAATCCCAATTGAGATGTTGTGGCAGGACTTGAAACGAGCAGTTCATGCTTGAAAACCCACACGTCACTGAGTTAAAGCAGTTCTGCATGGAAGTGTGGGCCAAAATTCCTCCACAGCAACGTGAGAGACTGATCAACAACTACAGGAAGCATTTGGTTGGAGTCATTGCAGCTAAAGGTGGCACAACCAGTTATTGAATGTATGGTGTCTTATTTTTCACAGAGGGGAACTGGGTGTTGCATAACTTTGTTTATGAAATAAATATGTAATTGTTGTGTTATTTGTTCACTTATGTTCCCTTTATCTAATATTAGGTTTTGGTTGAAGATCTGATAACATTCAGTATCACAAATATGCAAAAGTAGAGAAAATTAGAAAGGGGGCGAATACTTTTTCATAGCACTGTATGTGTCTCTAATATGGTCATACATTTGGCAGGAGGTTATGAAGTGCAGCTCAGTTTCCACCTCATTTTGTGGGCAGTGCGCACATAGCCTGTCTTCTCTTGAGAGCCAGGTCTGCCTTCGGTGACCTTTCTCAATAGCAAGGCTATGCTCACTGAGTCTGTACATAGGTTTTCTTAATTTTGGGTCAGTCACAGTGGTCAGGTATTCTGCCACTGTGTACTCTCTGTTTAGGGCCAAATAGCATTCTAGTTTGCTCTGTTTTTTTTCTTTCTTTTTTTCCAATGTGTCAAGTAATTATATTTTTGTTTTCTCATGATTTGGTTGGGTCTAATTGTGTTGCTGTCCTGGGGCTCTGTGGGGTCTGTTTGTGTTTGTGAACAGTGCCCCAGGACCAGCTCTTCTCCAGGTTCATATCTCTGTAGGTGATGGCTTTGTTATGGAAGGTTTGGGAATCGCTTCCTTTTAGGTGGTTGTAGAAATTAACGGCTCTTTTCTGGATTTTGATAATTAGCGGGTATCAGCCTAATTCTGCTCTGCATGCATTATTTGGTGTTTTATGTTGTATACAGAGGATAGTTTTGCAGAATTCTGCATGCAGTCTCAATTTGGTGTTTGTCCCATTTGGTGAATTCTTGGTTGGTGAGCGGACCCCAGACCTCACAACCATAAAGGGCAATGGGTTCTATAACTGATTCAAGTATTTTTATCCAGATCCTAACTGATATGTCAAATTTTATGTTCCTTTTGATGGCATAGAAGGCCCTTCTTGTCTTGTCTCTCAGATCGTTCACAGCTTTGTGGAAGTTACCTGTGGCGCTGATGTTTAGGCCGAGGTATGTATTGTTTTTTGTGTGCTCTAGGGCAACGGTGTCTCTCTCTCTCTCTCTCTCCCTCTCTCTCTCTCTCTCTCTCACTCCCTCTCTCTCCCTCTCTCTCTCCCTCCCGCTCTGTCCCACCCCCCTCTCTCTCTCTCTCACTCCCCCTCTCTCTCTCTGGCAGCAGGTTGTGATTATTGGGCCGAGGGCAGCAGGGTACTCCTCAGGGTATTGATCAGGGTATTAATCAGGGTATTGATCAGCTGTTTCTACAGAAAGGAAAGAAACACACAGCTCAGCAAGGCTGTGTGTGTGTGTGTGTGTGTGAGTGTGTGTGTGTGTGTGTCCAACTAAATGAAGAGTGATCAAATCTAAAAAGGATGAGCAGGTGGCTCTGTTTCACTGGCTTTTTTGGCATGGTGCCTGGCATTCTAAATGCCAGGAGAGGGTTGGTGTGTGTGTGCGTATGCGCACACGTGTGTGTGCATGTGTTCGTGCGTGCCTAAATCTGTCTTGCTGTGGGCGAGTCTACTGCGGCACGATGAAGCAGGTGGCCATATTTCAGGGAGAGCGTTCTCTCTCACTCTCTCACTCTCTCAGACACACACACACGGCGTACCTGTAGCCACGTCCCTGATCAGCAGAGGGTGCTGTTTGGAGAGGGTGAACCCAAGACCGCTGGAGTCCAACACCGGGTCTCTGACGATCTGAACCGTTAGCCTCACCGGGAAGTTCTGACTGGACACACTGCCTGACCGGCTGGACCTCCCATCCCCAAGGATCCGCTCTCTGCAAGGTCAAACAAGGGTTAAATAGGGGTTAGAGGTGAGGGGTTATTGGGAGTGGCAGAGCAGCTGGTGTGAGACTACAGTGAGGGAAAAAAGTATTTGATCCCCTGCTGATTTTGTACGTTTTCCCACTGACAAAGACAAGATCAGTCTATAATTGTAATGGTAGGTTTATTTGAACAGTGAGAGACAGAATAACAAACAAAAAATCCAGAAGAACGCATGTCAAAAATGTTATAAATTGATTTGCAATTTAATGAGGGAAATAAGTATTTGACCCCTCTGCAAAACATGACTTAGTACTTGGTGGCAAAACCCTTGTTGGCAATCACAGAGGTCAGACGGTTCTTGTAGTTGGCCACCAGGTTTGCACACATCTCAGGAGGGATTGTGTCCCACTCCTCTTTGCAGATCTTCTCCAAGTCATTAAGGTTTCGAGGCTGACGTTTGGCAACTCGAACCTTCAGTTCCCTCCACAGATTTTCTATGGGATTAAGGTCTGGAGACTGGCTAGGCCACTCCAGGACCTTAATGTGCTTCTTCTTGAGCCACTCCTTTGTTGCCTTGGCTGTGTGTTTTGGGTCATTGTCATGCTGGAATACCCATCCACGACCCATTTTCAATGCCCTGGCTGAGGGAAGGAGGTTCTCACCCAAGATTTGACAGTACATGGCCCCGTCCATCGTCCCTTTGATGCAGTGAAGTTGTCCTGTCCCCTTAGCAGAAAAACACCCCCGAAGCATAATGTTTCCACCTCCATGTTTGACGGTGGGGATGGTGTTCTTGGGGTCATAGGCAGCATTCCTCCTCCTCCAAACACGGCAAGTTGAGTTGATGCCAAAGAGCTCGATTTTGGTCTCATCTGACCACAACACTTTCACCCAGTTCTCCTCTGAATCATTCAGATGTTCATTGGCAAACTTCAGACGGGCATGTATATGTGCTTTCTTGAGCAGGGGGACCTTGCGGGCGCTGCAGGATTTCAGTCCTTCACGGCGTAGTGTGTTACCAATTGTTTTCTTGGTGACTATGGTCCCAGCTGCCTTGAGATCATTGACAAGATCCTCCCGTGTAGTTCTGGGCTGATTCCTCACCGTTCTCATGATCATTGCAACTCCACAAGGTGAGATCTTGCATGGAGCCCCAGGCCGAGGGAGATTGACAGTTATTTTGTGTTTCTTCCATTTGCGAATAATCGCACCAACTGTTGTCACCTTCTCACCAAGCTGCTTGGCGATGGTCTTGTAGCCCATTCCAGCCTTGTGTAGGTCTACAATCTTGTCCCTGACATCCTTGGAGAGCTCTTTGGTCTTGGCTATGATGGAGAGTTTGGAATCTGATTGATTGATTGCTTCTGTGGACAGGTGTCTTTTATACAGGTAACAAGTTGAGATTATGAGCACTCCCTTTAAGAGTATGCTCCTAATCTCAGCTCGTTACCTGTATAAAAGACACCTGGGAGCCAGAAATCTTTCTGATTGAGAGGGGGTCAAATACTTATTTCCCTCATTAAAATGCAAATCAATTTATAACATTTTTGACATGTGTTTTTCTGGATTTTTTTGTTGTTATTCTGTCTCTCACTGTTCAAATAAACCTACCATTAAAATTATAGACTGATAATTTCTTTGTCAGTGGGCAAACGTACAAAATCAGCAGGGGATCAAATACTTTTTTCCCTCACTGTATGTGGGTAATGTATTTCTGTAAAACATTGAATTAGACTCACTACAGAGGGCTAAAGTCATCCCTTCCCTCTGTGTCAGCTGTTTCCTAGCATGACTAACAGGTGGCCCATCCACATACTTCATTCTATTGTGGGAGTGCAAACCTCTTGACATCGAATCTCTGAATGTATGTTTCTCTCTCAATGTGTGTGTTTCTCTGTCTGTATGTCTCTCATGTGTTGATACTGTACCTGCTGAGTGATTCGCGGGTGCGTCTGATCAAGGTTCCCACCACCTGCTGCACCCGGGTGGCCCTACGGCTACGAGACAGAGACCGGCTCCTACTCCTCTCCTTCTCCTCCATTTAACTACACAGAGAGAGAGGATGACATGGAAAACGTAGTCAGTTGCGCACAACTGAATGCATTCAACTGAAATATATTTATTCCGCATTTAACCCAACCCCTCTGAATCAGAGAGATGCAGTGGGCTGCCTTAATTTACATCATTGGCGCCCAGTTGTTGTTAACTGCCTTGCTCAAGGGCAGAATGGCAGATTTCGCCACCTTGCCGGCTCTGGGATTGGAACCAGCGACTTTTCGGTTATTGGCCCAACCCTCTTAACTGCTAGGCTACCTGCCGCCACAGAGCCAGAAAGAAAAAACAGACAAAAAGGTTGTTTTGAAACAGAGAACGATGGAAGACAGAGCTTAGTGTTGTGTTGAACTACAATTATGTTAGTAGCAGATCTGCATCTTGTGTTCATCATGTTTATATGCAGAGTGCGTTGTTTGCCCATGTAAACAAAAGAGCGGGAGGAGGGACTCAGAAGGGTATTCAACTCTACATTCACAAGGCGAAACACGTCACACTCAACAAGATGTGACACATAGGACAACCACGCTTATAGGACATTTAAGAAGGAACACACACACACATACACATCACACACACAGACACACACACACACACACACACACGCACACACACACACACACACACATACACTACTTGTCTCTGTGTTTATCACTACTGACAACTTTGCAGCAGTGCACTTTCTGTTCAGCCTGCCCTTTATGCAGGTACGTGGGGGGCTGGGAACGAGGGATGAAGGGAGGTAAAGAAAAAGGAGGAGGGAGAGTGGAGGGGGTTCGTTATGTTTTAATCAAATCCCAGAGAAGTGTGCTCAGCATTCGCTCAGTCTGACAACAACTAATGGCCAACACCACCGCTCAACACTGTTTCCTCCCCAACAGCCAATCAATAGCCCTCCTCGTCTTGGCCATATTCATCCTCTGATAATTCACTGACATGCTTTATCTGATGTTTCTGAGGTTTCTGACAGTCTGGGTTCAGTATGGGTTCAGTATGATGCTCAAATTGGACATAGACAGACAGGGTCTGGGTAAACTGAATTTAAATTGCAACCTTTGTTAATTCAAATCAGTCCATTGATAATTTGTTAACATCCATGCTTTATTGACTGTCTCTAATGTTAGCACTCAATAAAGAAAAGATCTAGGTTGACCATCACCACTGTAATTAATGGATGGTATCATACTGTGAAGTGAATGAACTTCCCCTGCAACCCTGCTGCTAGCATGCTGCACAGCAAGAGAGAGAGAATTGAAATTGAATTGAATTGAGAGAGAGAGTGAGAGAGAGAGAGATCAATAGTGGTTAACGATGATAGATGAGGTGCTGAAGCCCAGTGATCGATACATAAAGCCTCTCCTCTACTATCACCTCAATCAGCTGAGGCTGATCAGCTCCACCAAAACACTGTCAACTTTCCTCGAGCTCAGAGAGAAGATGATGTTATCACGGTCTGACTGTCTGTTTCAGGACTCTCCAGCCTGCTTGCTCTGCTTCAGTAACCACAGCATCTGAGTGCTATAGCCTGGCTGTCTGCCTGTGCTTCAGCCAACCTCTTTCTATTGTCATGCCATGCCATCCAAAAGGCTTCTCAACAGCTTCTACCCCCAAGCCATAAGACTCCTGAACAGCTAATCATGGCTACCCGGACTATTTGCACTGCCCCCCACCCCATTTTTTTACGCTGCTGCTACTCTGTTAATTATTTATGCATAGTCACTTTAACTCTACCCACATGTACATACTACTTCAACTACCTCAACTAGTCGGTGCCCCCGCACATTGACTCTGCACCGGTACCCCCCTGTATATATAGCCTCCCTACTGTTATTTTATTTTACTTCTGCTCTTTTTTTCTCAACACTTTTTTGTTGTTGTTTTATTTTACTTTTTTATAAAAAATAAATGCACTGTTGGTTAAGGGCTGTAAGTAAGCATTTCACTGTAATGTCTGCACCTGTTGTATTCGGCGCATGTGGCCAATAAAATTTGATTTGATTTGATTTGATTTGACAAAGGAGCTGGCTAAAGAGGAAAAATGTAACTGCCAACTGCAGGCTAATGTTCTATCAATCAGAGTGATTAGCTGGCGATATCAGACTTATTGTTCACTGATTCAGGTTTTGAATGACGCACTGCAGACTGTTTGCATTTCTCTCTTTAATCAATAGAGGGATGGAGTATCAATTAAACAAAGATATTTGCTACAGAAACTGTAGAGTGAGCAGACTCGTTTAGTCATTCAGTACACTGAAAGGGCTAATGGCTAGACCGCTAACATCCTACACATTGGAATGAATTTGTCATAGGTGCTAAGGTAAGGCTAGCCCAGTCTGCTAACTTTATCCCCATTGAAGTGAATCTTCTAAGGCGCTACGGCTAAGGCTAGCCCTCTAGCGTTGCCCTCATTGAAGCCAATGCTGTGGGTCTGTAAGAGGATTATGTCCTCTTTCTGAGCGGGCCTGGAGAGGGTGTTACTTTGGCATCCCGTTGACCCGGATTGATGTGGATGAGGGGTAACTCGTCTGACAGCTGGCACTGAAAGACCAGCTTCTTCTGAGACACACATTATCCAAACCTATTCGATCAATCTGAGATGGACACTGAGAGCTGATCAGGTGTGTGTGTGTGTGGTGTGAGTATGTGAGTCTGTGTGCAGATAGACAAGTACCTACGTATGAGTGTGTGTGTGTGCACATGCAGATGTATCTGTAATGTGTGTGTATCCATGCTGCAGTGCTGACTCAGGTGAAACCTGTCTCTATCCCCCTCTCCTCTCTCTCTATCTCTTAATCTCTCTCACTCACACACACACACAAACACACACACACATTCTTTCTCTGCTCCCTGTGCCCTTGCCGAGTCAGGAAGTCCTCTTGGGTGACACTTTCTCTTGCTGCTGCAGACAACATCCATAAATACATGATCACCTGGATCACTGGGGAGTGTGTTCACTGCTGCCCCAACTCTCTTAGAAGACTGCCTTTTTACCTATGCATTTTGGCTATACATAATGCATTGTCAGATTTTTGGCAAGGTAATACACAATTAACTTTTGTAACTCATTACTTACTCCTTAAACTCTCTCAAATATTCCATCAGGGATCGGCATATAGGAGTATATAGATGTAGGATCTTAATTTGAGCCAGTTTGCTACAGCAGGAAAATAATCCTGCAGCAACAGGAAATTTGAATTATTATGTGGATTATAATTAATGGACATTCTTTGTAGGGGTTGATACATTTTTTGTTTGGTCAAATCAAGTCTGACATTCTAAAGTGGAAATTACACTTTAGAAGCCTTTTAAAACCTTGGATACACTACAAGTCGCATTTACTGCTGTGCAGGAGAAATCTCAGCAACAAAAGAGTGATCAAATTAAGATCCTACATCTGTATAGATTGTTATAATAATGTTAATATATTAATACTGTAAATATTGTAGAAGGTAAGGAATGAGATAAGGAAGCCAGTTCAAAGCATTGAGACCAGACCCAAGTGTTTAGTGAATGTGCCAATATCAGATACTGTCTGTTTGTCTGTCACTCACCGTGGTATTGCTTGTCTCTTCTGGATTCCCGAACACGAAAATCCTCGGGCCATCTGCGACATCAGCTCCGGAGCCCCATCGGGATTGGCTGAAAAGAGGTGGAAGAGGGCCCTTGTGATCATCAGGACCAATCAGAATTTGTAATCCCGGTAGTCACCTGTGCAGAATGGAACAACAAATCAATCAGTTACACTGTCATTGCCTTTAAATTCATATTGCAAAACAATGATACATTCTGGGGTGACTGATATAATGCAAAGAGTGGATATATACCCAAAGTGCTATGGCATCATAACATGTACAGTACCAGTCAAAGGTTTGGACACACCTACTCGTTCAAAGGTTTTTCTTTATTTTTTAAACTATTTTCTACATTATAGAATAATAGTGAAGACATCAAAACTATCAAAATATATTTTAGATTTTAGATTCTTCAAAGTAGCCATCCTTTGCCTTGATGACAGCTTTGCACACTCTTGGCATTCTCTAAACCAGCTTCATGAGCTTCTTGAAGGAGTTCCCACATATGCTGAGCACTTGTTGGCTGCTTTTCCTTCACTCTGCAGTCCAACTCATCCCAAACCATCTCAATTGGGTTGAGGTCGGGTGATTGTGGAGGCCAGGTCATCTGATGGAGCACTCCATCACTCTCCTTGGTCAAATAGCCCTTACACAGCCTGGAGGTGTGTTTTGGGTCATTGTCCTGTTGAAAAACAAATGATAGTCCCACTAAGCGCAAACCAGATGGGATGGCGTATCGCTGCAGAATGCTGTGGAAGCCATGCTGGTTAAGTGTGCCTTGAATTCTAAATAAATCACCAATAGTGTCACCAGCAAAGCACCCCCACACCATCACACCTCCTCCTCCATTCTTCACGGTGGGAAACACACATGCAGAGATCCTCCGTTCACCTACCCTGCGTCTCACAAAGACACAGCGGTTGGAACTGTCGTTTCTCTTTGCTTGTTTGAGCTGTTCTTGCCATAATATGGACTTGGGTATTTTACCAAATATGGCTATCTTCTGTATACCACCCCTACCTTGTCACAACACAACTGATTGGCTCAAACGCATTAAGAAGAAAATTAATTCCACAAATTAACTTTTAAGAAGGCACACCTGTTAATTGAAATGCATTCCAGGTGACTACCTCATGAAGCTGGTTGAGAGAATACCAAGAGTGTGCAAAGCTGTCATCAATGCAAAGGGTGGCTACTTTGAAGAATCTCAAATCTCAAATATATTTTGATTTGTTTAACAACTTTTTGGTTACTACATGATTCCATATGTGTTATTTCATAGTTTTGATGTCTTCACTATTATTCTACAATGTAGAAAATAGTAAAAATTAAGAAAAATCCTGGAATTAGTAGGTGTGTCCTAACTTTTGACTGGTACTGTATGTGTCATAATATGTTTACTGAACAAGCAGACACATAGAGTCTTTCTCTTCCTGTTAGAACCAGTCTAAGCAGCAGTGTGGTTTGACGATAGAGGACACTACTATTCTCCCCACCCCCAGGCCTCCTTGCTCCAATCAAAGCAGTGTAGCCTGAAAAGCACATGATGGTGTGTTGGAGAAGAGGCACTCTAGCTTTGTCTGGTTGTCTGAATAAAAATTTCATATCAACCCAGTTCAGAGAACGTTCCAACTGGCCCCTTTTAAAAGCTGTAAGAGGAAAGACAATTCCACTGCGGTTGAAAGGAGCTGTGCCAAGGATCTCAGAAAAACGGCACCAGCAGGACTACACTTATATACAAACATCAACTGTGCATGAGGCTGAAGTGTAGGGCAACATTCTGTGATCCAAATATGCTCAGAGCATGCTTTGTGCACTAATATAATGGCTCTGAGTCTGAATATGTTCACCTTATCAAAATCAGTGGAGACTGCTGAGGGGAGGACGGCTCATAATAATGGCTGGAACGGAGCAAATGGAATGGCATCAAACACATGGAAACCATGTTTGATGTATTTGATACCATTCCAGCAATTCCGCTCCAGCCATTACCAGGAGCCCGTCCTCCCCAATTAAGATGCCCACCAACCTCCTGTGATCAAAATAAAGACACAATTAAACACTTGTTTAGTGCCTCTCTGTTCTCTCAAGTCTCATTCCCATTTCAGCGGCTCCTGTGCCCTGAATGTCCCTGACATGCTGCTCCATCACCAGGCCCTGTGTCCCAGACACAGAGCTCCTTCACCAGGCCTGGTCCCCAGACACAGAGCTCCTTCACCAGGCCCGGTCCCCAGTGCGCAGCTAGGAAAAGACCCAGACCCACACGGACTGCAGGCCTCATGGATAATGCATAGAGCTAATGCAGCTAGTTAGGCATCCTATCTCCTCCAGCCTCCTCTGACAACACATGCACCCACAGAGGAGCAATTGAAGGAGGAGAGGAAATAGAGAAAGAGATGGGTGCAGGAGGTGAAGAGGTGAAGAAGGGGTGGACTGTGGAGAGTGAAAAGAGAGAAGGGGGAGCAGGGGGTAGAGAAAGGGTAAAAGAGAATTGGCCCAGGGTAAAGAGAAAAGGACAGGATATTGGAGGGGGTTGTAGTGAGGGGTGAAGAGGGTAGCAGCACAGGGAGAGAGAGAGAGAGAGAGAGAGAGAGAGAGAGAGAGAGAGAGAGAGAGAGAGAGAGAGAGAGAGGGGGGGGGGGGGGGGGTGTAGACGTGGGGGAGATTAGAGAAGACCGTAGGTGAAAGTGTTTTAGTGATCAATGCAGCATTTCTCCGCAAATACAGTAGAAATATAGCCCAGCGGCTGTATGGTCAATCGTTAAATAAGTAATCAAACAAACCTACATTCGGCATTGCACTATTCATCTCATGCTGTTCTTTCCCTGCAGTGTGATGGATAACGGGTGAAATGTGCAGAATCAGGGGTGGTTTTTCCACTGGAGTAATTGCCTTGTAATAATGTGAGATCAGTACATAGACTTTACCCCACTTTAGAGCCATGGTCGGGATTTTCCTGTCTGTCTGTCTGTCTGTCTGTCTGTCTGTGGATGGTGATAAGTCTGCCTCTAATCTGGCTCTTAATCAACAGTAATCGTGACTGCTATGTTTACAAGTGTCCCCAAGCTGTCCACAAAATTCATAGTTACAGCTTGTAGCCTGTCTGTCTGTCTGGGCTTTCTGGCCTTCTTTCTATCTTCCTCTTTCTCTCTCACTATCTCTCTGCTACTCTCCATCTTGACTTGTCTACAGAAGTCATTAGTACAGTTGCTTAAAGTCTGTCTTTCTATCTTCCTCTTTCTCTCTCACGTTTTGCCACTTTCACCATCTTGACCGTCATTAGTATAGCTTGTAGCCTGTCAAAGCTTTCTTTCATTCCTTCACTCTCACTTCTGCTCTCTCTATCTCTCTCTCTCTGTCTGTCTGTCTGTCTGTCTGTCTGTCTGTCTGTCTGTCTGTCTGTCTGTCTGTCTGTCTGTCTGTCTGTCTGTCTGTCTCTCTCTCTCTCTCTATCTCTCTCTCTCTCTGTCTGTCTGTCTGTCTCTCTCTCTCTCTCTCTCTATCTCCCTCTCTCTCTCTCTCTCTGACACTTTCACCATCTTAGACTTTCACTCTCTCAATATCGCTCTCCTCTCACTCTCAACCATGGAACAATCACTTTGGATGAGCTTTTCTGTTTAGAAACCCACTCTGCATCTCTTGTCACACACTCTCTTACCCTCCAGATCTGAATGAACAAACACACACACAGAGACACTCACTCTCTGTTTATCCTCCACCATCCTCTCTCTCTCTCTCTCTCTCTCTCTCTGAGAGGTAGTGTTGAAGGGGAGGCATTGCCAGCTGGACAGGAAACAGAGTCTAGTTGAAATCCAATTAGGCATGCTAAGACAAGCCAGGCCGAGACCGGACCGGGGCGGACCACACAGGGTCAGAACCACAACAACTGACAGTACAGTTCAGGAGAAATCTATCTACAGAAAGGCCTGACAACTTCTTCTGAGGGTCCCACATGTGGAGCTCCTGCACCAGGCCCTGTCCTATTTTCCTGAGGGTCCCACAGGTGGAGCTCCTCCACCAGGCCCTGTCCTATTTTCCTGAGGGTCCCACAGGTGGAGCTCCTCCACCAGGCCCTGTCCTATTTTCCAGAGGGTCCCACAGGTGGAGCTCCTCCACCAGGCCCTGTCCTATTTTCCTGAGGGTCCCACAGGTGGAGCTCCTCCACCAGGCCCTGTCCTATTTTCTTGAAGGTCCCACAGGTGGAGCTCCTCCACCAGGCCCTGTCCTATTTTCCTGAGGGTCCCACATGTGGAGCTCCTCCACCAGGCCCTGTCCTATTTTCTTGAGGGTCCCACAGGTGGAGCTCCTACACCAGGCCCTGTCCTATTTTCCTGAGGGTCCCACAGGTGGAGCTCCTCTACCAGGCCCTTTCCCATTGACTGATATGATGGGGACTGACAGGAAGGCCTAATCGCATGGTTGGTGTTCTCAGCAGTAATGGATTTAGCAATGAACTTGAGACAGACCCCTGTCACTCATATTGTACACATAAAGAGGGAAGCGGGGAAACAGCCCTTCTGTGTAGTTTCTGAACTGCATAAATCTGCAACAGTACAACAATCTAGGCCTACATCAAGTGTCCTCTTCACCAAACCTATTTTTGGAGAACACCAGACTTGAGTCAAAGCCCGCCACCCACCCTAAATACAGTAGATAATCTCTAAAAGTGGAGAAGTCCCAATCCTTACAAACCTTGATTAACCTACAGTGGGGAAAAAAAGTATTTAGTCAGCCACCAATTGTGCAAGTTCTCCCACTTAAGAAGATGAGAGAGGCCTGTAATTTTCATCATAGGTACACGTCAACTATGACAGACAAATTGAGGGAAAAAAATCCAGAAAATCACATTGTAGGATTTTTTATGAATTTATTTGCAAATTATGGTGGAAAATAAGTATTTGGTCAATAACAAAAGTTTCTCAATACTTTGTTATATACCCTTTGTTGGCAATGACACAGGTCAAACGTTTTCTGTAAGTCTTCACAAGGTTTTCACACACTGTTCCTGGTATTTTGGCCCATTCCTCCATGCAGATCTCCTCTAGAGCAGTGATGTTTTGGGGCTGTCGCTGGGTAACACGGACTTTCAACTCCCTCCAAAGATTTTCTATGGGGTTGAGATCTGGAGACTGGCTAGGCCACTCCAGGACCTTGAAATGCTTCTTACGAAGCCACTGCTTCGTTGCCCGGGCGGTGTGTTTAGGATTTTTTATGAATGTATTTGCAAATTATGGTGGAAAATAAGTATTTGGTCACCTACAAACAAGCAAGATTTCTGGCTCTCACAGACCTGTAACTTCTTCTTTAAGAGGCTCCTCTGTCCTCCACTCGTTACCTGTATTAATGGCACCTGTTTGAACTTGTTATCAGTATAAAAGACACCTGTCCACAACCTCAAACAGTCACACTCCAAACTCCACTATGGCCAAGACCAAAGAGCTGTCAAAGGACACCAGAAACAAAATTGTAGACCTGCACCAGGCTGGGAAGACTGAATCTGCAATAGGTAAGCAGCTTGGTTTGAAGAAATCAACTGTGGGAGCAATTATTAGGAAATGGAAGACATACAAGACCACTGATAATCTCCCTCGATCTGGGGCTCCACGCAAGATCTCACCCCGTGGGGTCAAAATGATCACAAGAACAGTGAGCAGAAATCCCAGAACCACACGGGGGGACCTAGTGAATGACCTGCAGAGAGCTGGGACCAAAGTAACAAAGCCTACCATCAGTAACACACTACGCCGCCAGGGACTCAAATCCTGCAGTGCCAGACATTTAAATTTACGTCATTTAGCAGACGCTCTTATCCAGATTATTATTATACCCCCTGTGGGAATCGAACCCACAACCCTGGCGTTGCAAACACCATGCTCTATCAACTGAGCTACATCCCTGCCGGCCATTCCCTCCCCTACCCTGGACGACGCTGGGCCAATTGCGCGCCGCCCCATCGGTCTCCCGGTCACGGCCGGCTACGACAGAGCCTGGATTCGAACCAGGATCTCTAGTGACACAGCTAGCACTGCGATGCAGTGCCTTAGACCACTGCGCCACTCGGGAGATTGACGTGTCCCCCTGCTTAAGCCAGTACATGTCCAGGCCCGTCTGAAGTTTGCTAGAGTGCATTTGGATGATCCAGAAGAGGATTGGGAGAATGTCATATGGTCAGATGAAACCAAAATATAACTTTTTGGTAAAAACTCAACTCGTCGTGTTTGGAGGACAAAGAATGCTGAGTTGCATCCAAAGAACACCATACCTACTGTGAAGCATGGGGGTGGAAATATCATGCTTTGGGGCTGTTTTTCTGCAAAGGGACCAGGACGACTGATCCGTGTAAAGGAAAGAATGAATGAGGCCATGTATCGTGAGATTTTGAGTGAAAACCTCCTTCCATCAGCAAGGGCATTGAAGATGAAACGTGGCTGGGTCTTTCAGCATGACAATGATCCCAAACACACCGCCCGGGCAATGAAGGAGTGGCTTCGTAAGAAGCATTTCAAGGTCCTGGAGTGGCCTAGCCAGTCTCCAGATCTCAACCCCATAGAAAATCTTTGGAGGGAGTTGAAAGTCTGTGTTGCCCAGCGACAGCCCCAAAACATCACTGCTCTAGAGGAGATCTGCATGGAGGAATGGGCCAAAATACCAGCAACAGTGTGTGAAAACCTTGTGAAGACTTACAGAAAACATTTGACCTGTGTCATTGCCAACAAAGGGTATATAATAGGGGTGTAACGATCCATCTACTACATCGATGTATCGATTTATATTCCTATGATCCAACTACATCGATCTGTGCTCGGCGAGTTGGCCTTTTGGACAACATATATCAATCTAACATCGTTTTAAAATGTAATAAATCGATTGTATCGATACTAGGAAATAACCCATTGGATTTAAGCACGTCAGACTTTATATGGATGTTTTTTCTTAGCACTTTTAATGATAAAGGCTTTAAACATTACTCGATTCAGTCTGCCTATCCGTGACGTCATCGCCCCGCGCCAGCAGCAGCGCAAAGGCGCAAAGACAACAAAACATAGCAAGGCGGACGACAGAGGAGAAGCCGACGAGCGAGAAATTATCAAGCCACCATTGCGGTCCTTACAAGAAACAGGAATCTAGGAAACTTCACCTGCACTGTCCAGTATCCAGGTATTTATTTCAGTCACACTGGTTGAATTTTTGGCTAAAAGGTTACTGAATCGATTTCAAGTCACTGAATCGTTTCGGATCGTATCGTTCTAAATGAACCAATATCGTCCTTGAATCGTATCG